AGTGTTTGGAAAAGCTGGAGGTATTTAATTTCTCACAAGGAATTATTTTGAGTTAAACTGGAAGAAGACTGGAAGAATGTGAAACTGCTCAGGCATAAGACARTCATTATATTAAACAGCTCACTCCCTTTTCAGAACTTGATTCAGTCATTTGAATTTTAAAGGAAAAAGGAAACATCTCTATTGAGTAAAGCTAAAGAGGAAGACTCCTGGACTTCTGGAGGATACCAGACTCAACTGTTAGTTTAGCAGAATATCAACTATTATAAATACTAATCCATAGCTTTTGGTATCTTGAAGGACTTTCTATTTGGAGATCTAAAAAAAAAAAAAATCTCTTTTTAGCTGTAGGACAGCTACTCAGCAGTCTGATTCACCAAAGGTGGATGCTTAACAGATGATGGGGGATCAACACTTCAAAAGAACTTGTTGAATTGTTTCATTTCAAATAATACACGTAAACTGCATTCTTCTGATTACAATTTATGTACAGCACCACATGGCCATTCAAAGGACAGCTGGAGAATGCACAGAGCCTGACCCAGATCATCTGAGGTTTCCCTGCATTCAAGAATAGAAGAAAAAAAGTGAAGARGGACTGCCTTCACTCCTCAGTTGTCTGTTGTAAGGCACTAATATAGCCCACAGGAAATGAATACTCTCACATAGCTCCTCTAAAGCAAAGGCAGTGACAACCAGAGGTTGGCATATGTATACTCAGCAGTGGGGGAGGGACAGGAAGCAATCAGGAAGAGATGCTGATTAAAGGAAAGAGCCTAACAACTGTGACAAAAAACCTTCCTGCTCCTGCAGAGACAGACTGCAAAATGCTAGACCAGGGTTTTCCCCCAGACYCAAAAAGCTGTTTTAGCCTGCTTGTACCAGAAAAAGCACACAGATCAGCTAATTTAATTCTTTTGTAGTAGTGTTTGCTGTTTTTCCTTCCTGCACTTACGTCATCACCAGATTTCAACCTTTTCATCACTTAATTGAACAAAGAAAAATAGTTCTTGAATGTTTTGGTTTTGTTTAAAGACTATCTCCTGTTTCAGGCTCTGGCTTTTGATTTGTAACTAAAAAAAACCTCTCTATTAGGAAATATAAAACTGTATGGAAAACCACAGAGTGAATGTATCAGTCATGAGTTACCACAGTGATTTAGGTAGTATTTCCACTACCTCAAATGATGATAGCACCTTCACACTTTTCAGCTCATTGTATCACCTGCAAGCCAGCCTGTCTCACTAGAAAAGTTTGCTGTTCAGAAACAAAGATTCAGAAACTTGTGGAGATGTTCTGTTTTTGCATTCAAGCATGTACAATTGTACCATCTTAGGTAACATGCAACCGAGCACTTAGATAATTAACGATGTCCAAAAGCCTTCTTACAGAGGATTAGGTCTATAAAATTAATGAATTCTGCTTGCTTCCAGACAGTGCAAGCAGCAGGAGAGAATAAACAGCTTTGCTGCCCAATTTGGAAAGACCAGATTTAAGTATATGATCACACCACTGGTGACGGCACTTAACACAGCCAACAACCTGCAAGATCATTCATTTCAGCAGGGCTGACAGATGCTCAGTTTTACTAAGTCTGTCAATACTGTTTTCCTACCTCTGCTACCTGCCCATGACATCTCATGACAGAATTTGACATCTCATGACAGAATTTTTCCAGTGGGTAGGATGGTTTGCAGGGTGGGGACTGGAAAAACAGTTTACAGATGATTTCCCAGTGCTATTGTTAAAGGAGTGTGAAAGCCAAAGAGTGACCTTAATTCTTCCCTACTTGTTTTTGTCTCCTCTTGTTCCCACCCACTATGTTAGTCAGGCATTTATTTTTAAATAAAGAACAKATAAGCAGAACAATCCATTTCAGGGGAACACATCTTCACCTGTCACCCAGCTGACTGACTGTGATTCCTGTGCATTCTGCTGTTGACTCTGAAGCAATGAGCTGATCACCTGGGCCTACCTGAATGGAAGAAAATATAGTGCCTCACACACCATTTTAAAGATTTCTCTAGAAGTGAACTGTTGTGCAAAACCACTCTGAGTTATTCCCTTCTTTGTCCACTCTGTTAAGAGCATTTTTCCTGATCAGAAGCTTTAGCAATCCCACAATCCCGTATTGTGCTTTTGTCAGAAAGTTTCAAAGACTTTCAGAATTTCTCCCCTGCTCTCCAGGTAAAGTGCAAGATGTATGGAAACTGGACAGGGCTGGCTGACAGACTGCAGGTCAACAGGTACCCACAGTATGGCTATGCATGGGCTAACTTTGCCATTGCACAATACTGGTATCCTCTTTTGGGGGGGTCCTTGAAAATGTGTTAGTCTAGTAGTACAGATGCGATGAACAATCCTGGTGTCTTAGATTCTTTCCATCATTTCTSTCAYRAGCTTAGAGGCAACTCTCTTGCAGYATGACAAGARGAGCACAGAGCCTTCATGRAAAAGGAGGAATCTTTCTCTTCTCTGTGGCCCACCTACAGTCTAATTAATTGGGAGCAGTSAGAGCACAATGAATGTGTCTGCATGCAAACTCTGTCTACAGGCTTAGAGGGACAATGCACACATGTAGCCAAAAGGGCCATGGAACACCTGGTATTAAAAGCAATTATAAGACCCTTTAAGTTGAAGTATTTGGGGTTTAGGACTCGTTCATAGAAAGTSTAATCTCATCTCASGGCAGCAGTGAATCAAAACCAGTCYATAAACTGGTGTACTGCATMCACTAGCAACATTTAGAGCTGCATGCCCTTTCCAAGGAGGAGAATTTCTGCACAGMAATTATATCCTCTCCCCTACTCCCCACCAGGAATATCTTAAAATTATAAGTACAGCTTCCCTTTTCCCCCACAGTAAGATCACAATTATAGCTGAGTTCATARGTCAACTCACTTATGACTGCAATTTTCTAATTAAGGGGAATATCTGATCTGTTTGGAGATATATTTATGTGATAGATGCTAAAGAAAAAAATAGATTAACATCAAAAGCCATTTATTACCCTGTGTTCCAAWTAAAAACATCACAACCAGCAGGCATAACTATCCCAGCTCCCTCTGAAAGAGGCTATGTTAATTCCTGTATGCCTGCTTCTGCCCTCATAAGGCAGGCTATAAAATCCAATCCCATCCCAAAGCAGTAGTCCCAACTAAAAWCTGGKCTTCACTGGGAAGGAGTTCAAAACATTTATCAGTGCTTTCTGACACTGCATTTTCTGCTGAAAATAAAGTCAACATTGTGAAGAGCTAATTCCTCCACACCTCTGGGAATTCAGCCATAGCAGTTTCACTTCTGTTCCTCCTGTGCTCTCAAAAACCCCATGAGAATCATACAGCCTTTGGGCATGGTCTTTATCATAGATTACAATCAGAGACAATGAGCTCTTTGGGCAACAATTGGCTTTTCATTACTGATTGTGCTATATACAGTGCAAGTGCAAAGGCCCTGGCCCTTGACTGACAGACTCTAGGTAGAATGACTGAATGACTAACAAGGAAATAATCARCACCACACTGCAAAGTGTCATGAAAATGCCTATACAAATATGATGGGACCTCTCTRTACTTATCCTGGCTGGGAGGAGCAAAGAAATACCAACACCATTTACMGGAGCAAAATTAATCTGAGTTTATGAAGAGAGTTTATTTTTGTGGGCAGAGGGTATTTGGGTTGTTTTTTTACTTGTTTGCTTTTAATAATAGTGCCAGAACAGCCTTCTTTGCAATTACTATGCTGCTTCTGCAAAAGGAGATATGAAACGTACCTCTCATCATCATAGGTCTTAGCGTTAAGATAAATGTGGTTCTGTTTTCCAAGAAAGGGATAATGTGCATAAGAACAAGGGAGATCAGATGATACAGTTTCACAGGATGAATATGAAATAGCACAGATAAGATTTCAGACGCTCACTGACTGACTTTGAATCACATTTGTYGCACAGAGATCAATTTTGTACCCACAACTTAACAGACTGTATTTTTTCATTATGAAAAAACCAGCATAGTTTTAAAAGCAGTGTAGGTGGCTTTTTAAATTATTGTTGCAGTGGAGCAGACTTCTTGTTTGAATTCTACTTGTTTGTCTGATAAAACGATTCTGTTTTTTCTCTTACTCACTGTTATGTAAGTAACCTCTCTTCTCACTGTACTGCAAAATAAACCTTCTGCAGGTGATTTGTGGAGGAACCAAGACCTCTCTAGAAAGATCTGTACATTCTGGAGCAGATTTGAGACTGTCAGAAACAGGAAAATAAAAGAAGGGAACTACCAGAAATTAAATACGGCTATTGGATAAGAGAGAAGTAGGTAAGGGAAACACAAATTTCCTGAAAACCATCCAATCTTTAAAAATAATACTTCAAGGGGAAGACARAAAAAAAGGGCAGCTAGGAAATAAATACACTAATCTGTAATTGACAGATACACCAGGTAATTAATTATTAAATCAAATGCTGTTTGTCAGCTGCAAATGGAAGGCTTCTGCATAATTCAAGACAGTATTTTAAGAACTATGGAGTCTTCTGCTTGCCATGTMTAATTTTTACCCAATTATTGCAACCCATCACAAAAGGGGACACATCCCTGTCTTAGTTCAGTTTTAATACCCAACCTCACACATTTACAAGAGTTTCATGTTTATTTTCTAAAAATATAATTATTTAGCCCCATTAATAGCTGTTCCACTCCCTTCCTCCCAAACAGCAGTAGTCCTATCAGCAGAGAAAGAGACAACACTGTACAAAACAGAACCAGAAGCTTATTTAAAAGAGACAGTATCTTCATTCATAAAAATATTCTAATCATAACTRTCTTCCTGAGGCATTATCAATGCCAGGTTGTACTTTGAACTGGTATATTTCACATACACATTATATTCTCTTCATTCACACCTAGGTGCAAAGATCCTCAATTCTGCTAGCCCAGGTCAAAGTGTACATATGACTGCTATCTTCCACCCCAAACAAACTCAACAAGGTTTTTTCACACACTTACTCTGGAGATGGTCAAGGGCATGTTGAAGTCCTTGCCCCCTTGCAGTCGGAAGCCCCACGGTCCAGGTCCATTCAGATTCACACTGTAAGCCATTTTGTACTGCTTTCACAAGGCAGCAACACGGCACTGCAGGACAGAAGGATGGGGCAGACAGAAAAAAGTGTGAAAAAACAGAATGAGAACAGGGAAGGGTTTTACATAACGGAAGCAATTCTCTTTCTGACTTGCCTGTTCAGTCGTGCTCTGACACCACCTAAGAATAGATGGGAGCTATAATGCAGATGCTGATATCCCAGCTGAGTAGGGCCCATAAAAGGTTTGTAACCAGACACCTACTATGCAAAGACTTCATGACTCAGAGGTCTAATATAGTCCCCAGAGAAGGGGACAGATCTTTCTAGGCTCCTCAAGCCCCTCATGCTGCTCAGTTACTTTATGGACAAAACATACATTGTAATAAAACAAGCAAACAAAATCCCATGCTGTAATCCCAAACACGCAACTCTCTTCACTAACCTGTTAACAACTATAAAGCTATTTTAAAAATCTGCTTCAGCACATAGGTTTATTGCACAGTGACATATAATACAAGTTCTTTCTACATGGAAACTCCCATATGTAGCTGGAAAAGCACCAAGAAAGTGTTTACCCTCTTTTGCAATGGTTTGTTAAACTAAAAAAAAGTACATACTACATATATTCATAATCAACAAAAAACCCTCTCCACAACTTCATSTTTGGCTCTTGGTTCCACAGCCCTTTCTTTGTCTAGGAAAAAATAACAATTATTCTTTCTGAATGCAGAAATCAGCATTTAATTTCTGTGACAAAAGCATGGTTTCATTACATACCTGTTTCATCATTTCAATACAAGTCTTCTAAAGGTGTGATGCCTTATTAAAAGGCTAAGAACACAAATAGTTTACAGCTTCCTTAATTAATTTCTTGGKTTTTTTTCATAGTTTACATTCCATTTCTTAAGAATAACCTGTATAGTTATAAAACTATAATTCTTGTTCAGTAATGCTGGATAGCATTTCTGCCTCAGATGGGAAATTGCTAAAATACAGAGGACATGAGGGTAGAGAAGAAGCTGTTGGCAGAACTATAGATACAAACAAAAGTTTCTRCTCTCAGGGTAAAGCTACGAACATTTAAAAATGCTCACCCCTTTCAAGTTATTGATTTGTGCAGGAGCTCCAGAACCCCTCTCCTATATCTTCCCAGAATTTATTCTCCTTTACACTCTGATTAGAGAGAAATTGCCATGATATTAAAAAGGGGGGGAAAGCCCCCCAAACAAGGGTTCTACTCTGATAATCAAAAAGACTGCAAATCAAAAAGCAAATACACTGCACTAGAGTGAGGTAGGTCAGTTTGAACATTGATAGCGGGTCACCCTGACAATACACCTACCTTAAAACATGACAAATATCTGATGACAAAAGAGCAGAGAGCAAACACTACCAGGACTTCAGYCTTTATCTGACAAGATGGTCGATAATTTTTCAAAACCATGAAGCAATAAAAGTTCTGTCCAGCATTCACAGTGCCAGAAAAGCCATTTGTGCAAGAGAATAAYTAATCTCTGCATAGGCACTAGACTAAACCATACAACCCTCTCTTTTAGCCAGAGGTCCACATTAATACACAGSAATTCACATGGATTTAAATAAAAATTACACTAAGCCAGTAGAACTGGCCCCAACCAAAACTAAAGCAAATAGCAAGACATAGCTTGAGAAGAAAATAGGGTTTTGATGTCTCACAAATACCTCTAAGGTATATTTACACTAAGAATATTTATAACCTGTACTCCATGAGTCCAGAACCAGTGATATTTGGATTAGGACTCTKAGGAGAGACAAAACTGACTTTCTGGACTTCAAATGGCAGAGTTTCCAGGCCTGCCAGTTTATCTAGTACAGACTTCTTTTTTTTCTTTCAAAAAGCCACATGCACACACAAAAGTTAGAAGGTAAATTCTCATTGTACTATTCTTTTCCTCTTCCTAGGAATTCATTGGTGTTCTTAGTGCCCTTTCTTGGCTCCATTTTAAGGGTTCAGGAGAACAGAATAAAACCATAAGCTAAACACAAGTCAATGCTTTACTACTGAAGACAGTATCATTTAAACAAGTATTAGAAAAAAGGTTTCAGTTTTATGGACTGTGAATTCTGTGCATGTTACCTTTCCACACCTAGATCTTCAGTCATTTGTGTAAAAAAAAARRRRARRGGGGGGGAAGCAAAACCCAGAATAAAATAGAACTGCACAACAAGCTGAACAGAGCTAAGCTTTAAGAAACAGAAATGTTTAATCAAACAGTATGTCCATCCATCTTACATTCACACCCGTGACATGCCATTTGCTTATCAGTTAGGACATCTGAAAGGACCTGAGAGATCCTTCAGGCTGGGTGGTATGCTAAGAAACCAGAGTGGGCATCTCATTAGGGGCTCTGTCATTTGAATGAAATGTTAAACTGAGGTCACTTGTTCCTACTCCTTTGGTTTCCATCCGTTCTGCACGAATGCTCAGCATAGCTTGGCATTTTTAAAAGGAAAGTGTAGAGGATATGCCAACGTCCTAGCCAACATTCTCCTTCAACACATCAGGACCATAGCTCTCACATGTGTCTKCTCAATCACTACAAGGAGCAATTTGGAGAAAGAATACTACACAGTTTTCACTCTCCATGCCTCCTTATGACCTTTCTTTTCTATGTCTGTATCTCCTCTGCCTGCTTGAAGAAAACTCTGCTCCTAATAATGAAGTTAAAAGGCTATAGGAGTTCCTATATGCCATAGTCAGAGCTCCACTTTTTAGGGACACCCTTAGCACAGGTCTCCCCTTCTACAGACTTTCAGTACAATCAGCCTCTAAATAAGAAAGCTGGTGATCCACCCAGATGGCTGTTTCAGCCCTGTTTCCAAAGTTGAGACATCAGTGCAGCAGGTACAGTGCCATCAGAGCTATCAGCACTAACCTCAGCAAAACCTTCTGGGAAAGCAGAGGCTGAAATAAACTATGTGTACATAACAGGCAATTTCCTTGTTTTTCAGAGGCTTGTGATGTTTAGATTAAGTTTTAAGTTGCTTTACATAACTAMCTCCTAGACTGCTCCAAAAATAATTTTTTGTTTGCCCAGATAACAGTATTTTGCTCCTTACAATGTGCCCTCTTCCCCACATTCTCTGGCTATGTCTGAATCTATGATTTGCTTAAAGCTCCCTCCCTTCAGAGAGAAGCTATGCTGAGTCAGATGAGGTCACTGATGTAAGGAGTGACATTTAAACAAAAAACATATTCCAGGAGCAGGGTGACATTTTCTCCACACATGTCAAATCAGAGGATTGAGCTCACCAGGCACCTCCCTCCCATCCCAAGCTATTCCCAGCTGACTGATGGGAACAGCTGGGAGGGAGCTGGATGGGTACCAGGCAGAGGAGAGTGCCACCACCTCCAGCAAATGCCTCTGAGTCTGAGCAGAGCTGTCCCTTCACAACTCCACCAGAGGTGTTACASCAGCGGAAACAATTCACACGTGTTAAGAGACCATGCCGAGCCTATTACAGTGAACTGACTTTAGCAGAGCTACAACTGCGGGCTCGGGAGACATTGAGTGAATGAAATAAAACCCACTACTGTCAGTGCTAAATTAAGGTGGAAAGAAACAAGTAATGGAAATTCCAAYTGTTAAAGTTGCTACTACTTCATGAAAATGGCCTCATTAGTCAGGGGTTATATTTTAGCTGCTGTGGTAGATGTGCGCACAGGGGAGACTTGAATTTCTGTTTACTGCAGCAACAAGGTTGTATCATTTGTATCATCAAGGATTTCCGAATGAGATTGCCTCAGAGTTTGACTTCTAAGCTGCTTCAGGCTATGCATCTCTGGCAAATAAGAAGAGCATACAAGGTCATGGTTTCAATGTTTTATGTTTAGGCAAGTGAACAATTTGTGCTGCACAGGTGTAAGCGATCATTTCTTCCTTAATAGAAAGATATTCAGCAAGCTGTACAGACCTCCCTTTAGAAGAAAAACCAGCAAAAAAAAAATTCAATTTCAAAGACCAATCAAACAAAAAACACAAACAAACAAACAAAATAAAGCAAAACAAAATAGGTAAAAAGATTGTGTCTTTCTTTCAGTCTCTCTYACCTGAGGGAGTGGCAGTACAAGAAGGCAGCATTCAGCTTTATGACAAACACACCCYTTTTGTCCCATGGATTCCTGCACTGTCCCCAGTCCAATTATCTACAGTCCTTCAGAAGAGTGGRAAAGCAAGGCGAATGGAGCCTTTGAAGAGACTACTCACTACACACATGCTTGAAGAAAACCCAGGCTTTGAACCAGCACTCCAATATATGCAATCCTAGAGTTTTCCAAAGTTTTGAATCAACCCAATGATAAGTATACTTCACATGAAATCAACAGCTGTATTTGGGGACTGATCTCTATTGTCATCCACAGGAMAAAATAGTAAATATTTACTGTATATTAGTTAAGCAGTGCTACAGAATTTGAAACTGACACATTACAGATGGAAAAAWTTTTAGCTCTGAATTTCTATCTTGCCCATGACAAACTGAATATAAAACTAATTACCAACAGCAAAGATATTTTCCCTTACAAGTTCAGCACACGTTCGATACTGCTTCCAAAATAAGACTCTATTTTGCAAAAGAGCTCATTACAATCTCCTTTCCTTTGCTGCTGAACTCTCAACTAAGTTAAGCTAATCCTACTTGTATTGCCATGTACAGCTTTGTTTTACCTATTTATTAAAAATCCTTCAATTCTCACAGACCTTAGGAGTTTTGAGTTCCTTTTAGCTCCTTTATCAAGTTGTCTAATTCCTGATCTTTCTCAAGAAACTAAATTTTCTAACACACTTAGCTTCACCACATTCTGCTTTGTCAATCCCTTACTAACGTGTGCTTTGTGGGGTGGAGAAAAAGCCCTTAATGCTGGGAAGATATGCTAGAGCAATATAATGATAAAATATTATCTTCTTTCTCTATAATACAATCCTTTCAGAAATGTAGCTCAAGTGTTTCCTGTTTGGCTGTTTGCTGCTKCCAGTATCACTTTACCAATTAACCCAATTTGCTACTTACCCCTCCCTCTAGATCCTTCACCAGGACTACTTTTACCTTTACAAAACAAAATTGTATTTCACACTCTTTTCCCCTGTTGCATGACCTTTATTTTCCTCCTGAACTGACCTCCTTTCACTGCCATAAAAGGTTTGGTATACCAAACAGTTTAGTCAGACTTAAACTTTAAAACATTTGAATATTTTTTGGTAAGTACGTTAAACTGGAAACCTGTGGGGAGACAGGTTCACTGTGAAAGGGAAGGGGAAGATAACCTCCAGACTGTTTGCAAAGACTTGAGTGTATGTTATTAAATTCTCATCTTACCAGCTTTTCAGTCCTTGTTTTTAAAGRCATTCACTACACCATGTAATAGTTAAGACTTCCACGGCACTTACCCTCCCATGATAACAAAAAAATTTCTTCTTTTAAGGTAAATAACACCTMAACACCGGTTGTTTTAACCATGCCCTGTTTATCAATGTAATCACAGCACTTAGGTTACCAGCTTTACGAGAGAAAAACAGTCAACAGCAGCAAATGGATTAAAACGCAGGTGTCACTAATACAGGTACTTGAAGCAGAAAAAGAAGTCTGCAAAATGTGTTGCTGTTCAGTTTTCATTGTTTGTCAGCTCTGCATTGAAACCTGGAAAGTTCACAGCAATCCTATGACTACTGTAATTTCTGCCTTGTTGTAGGGGAACCTAACTGACTGGTTATAGGAAAGAGAAAATGGTGAATGAAAAACAAACAAACCCAAAGACATCACCGTCAGCTCCACTCAGGGAGACTGAGCTCTGACATCGAGGTCACAGGGCGTCTTACAGCTCTGGCTTTGCCTCCAGGCAGCCTAAGGTCTGGCACAGCGCAGTGGGCACACAGCGAGGCTTACGAGAAGGATCCTGTGCCGTCAGTGTAATTTGGTCATCGCAGATTCCTCAGGGATCACCACAGCACGCTGATGTAGCGGTGCGCACACAGGCACAAGAGTGCATGATAACTAAGCAGCCTCCCAAAAGTTACGCTTCAGCCTCGCCTACTCWCTTCTGCCTTCCTAGTAATGGCTCYACGGGGTTTAATTTCCCGCTACAGACACGCTGTAGTCACGGAGGGACCCACCTTGCCCGCTCTCAGTGTCTCGCTCACCGGTACCTCCTCCGGGCCACCTCCGGCCGCGCAGCGCTGCCCGGGCCGCACCGGGCGGGTCCCGCCCCCGCGGGAGACGCGGCTGCCGCTCCCACGGACATCGCCCCCGCAGCCAGAGGGCGGCCGCAAACAGGGCTGAGGGGAGCGCTRAGGGGAGCGCTGAGACACCCGCCCACCCCTGCGGCGAGGGAAGAGCCGCTGCGCCCCAGGAGGAGCCTTTAACGCGGCCGGGCCGCCGGGAGCCCCGCGCTGAGGGAGGCGGCTGCTCCCCGTCCCGCCGCAAGGGGGCGCTGTGGGGACGAGGCGGCGCGGGAGGGGATTTGCCTCAGGCGGTGGCGCAGGGGCAGATCCGCGAGAAGCCGCTGCTGGCGGCTTGTAAATATCCGAGTTTGGGCCGCGATCACCTCGGGGCCRCGGTGGCAGAGCGGGAAGGTGACCCAAAGCTGTGGGGAGCGGTTCGGCCGAGCGCCGGGGCAGCAGGTATCCCGGGGGGCGGGCGTTCCGCGTCTGAGCCCTCAGGGAAGGATGCGAGGGATGAAATGGCGGCGGGAGCGGGGGGGCTGCGCCCGCGGGTGGGACCAGGAGCGCTCTGGAAGGCGGCGAGGGCGGCCGGGAGGGGCTGCTGTCCTGCCCGAGTTCAGCAAAAGCTCTCGAGCTTGTGTGTTAATGCTGTGCGGGCTTGGAGCCCCCAGCCCTCAGCCCCTTCACTCACTGCCTGCTGCCCTCAGCCCCTTTGCTCGCCGCCGGAACACGAGTGAAATCGGTTTCATACACTGCTCCGTAGGAAAAGTGGAAACGAGGTTGTTTCCCCCACTTATCACTGGTGTTGATAAGCAATGGTCGTTTTAATTAAGTGTAAAAGTTAAAACGACGTCCCGAGAGGAGACAAAGGGTTTGAAAGACAAAAAATGCATAGGGAACAATTTGCCCACGAGATACTGCTACTGAGATGATTTAAGATACTGAGCCTTGTTGTGCTTTCATATGGCTGCTGAATGCTGTCAAGGACCAGGCAATCCACTCCATACATCCCTCTATTCAGCAGTTCTKTTTGGTTTGCTTTTTTGGTACTTTTTTATGTTATGCTCCCCAAAGTGTCCTGCAGAGTTAGCTGTTTTCTCAGTGCAATGACGGAGACACTGCTTTATGAGTTTGTTAAAAATAAAAAAAATTTAAAAAAAAAGAAAACAACCAAAAACCAGAAAAGCCTGTTCCCGAGTGTTAAACCGCTGGAAACGTGCGCGGTGCCGTGTCGGAGCCCCCTGGATTTGCCCAGGAGAGCATTGCCCGGCTGGGAAGTGCCCGGGCAGGCGGSCACGGGCCGGGCTCCGCAGCGGAGCGGGCTGTGCTCCCGGTCAGCACCAGGGACAGGGCGGCGGCGCGGCCGGGATCCGCCCCAMTGCGCGGGGCCGGGGCAAAACCCCGCAGTGAGGGGCCGAAAGCGCCTCAACGGGCCGGGATAAACCCAGCAATGCAATCGCTGAAATACACAACCTTTTTGAGTACTTTCTCAGCTCCAGCCTACTTAAAAGGATCATCATTCARGCAGGGCTGGCGTTCCGGGAAAGCCTTCTAGTCAAGTGAAATTTTTCTGGGCGAGAACTCACTTTTTGCACTGTTGGAGCCTGAATGCAGCATACAGGGCGGTACGTTAGRGAAAGCATTTCTTGGAGAGATTCTGCTTGTAAAGTCTCTCTTTTGCTGCATCTTGCCAGCCTGAAAGCAGGGATAGGGCTGCCATTTCAGGATAGCCGTGTGCACAGGTGAAYGTGTTCTGAGTGAGAACTCACTTTTYGTRCTCTTTCAGCCYGAATGCAGRCTAATGGGCATGTAGCRCAGAGAAAGCGTTTCTTCGAGAGATTCCCTCTGTGAATGTGTTTCTTGTCTTATGGAACCTGAAGTGTCTTTACATACTGGCTGCATTATACACCAAGTGGGCTTTTTTGGCCCAGTACACAGGATGCACAGAAAGGCCAGGAAAATTTGATCTAAATATTTTCTKTATTTATATTTGGCCAAAATTCATATTCATATGGATTGTGACTTGATGGCAGTTGCAAAAATATTCCACTGACAAGTTTGCTTATATTTCCAAAGGAAACATTTTGCATCTTGTGATGAGGTGAGCAACCTCCTAAAGTAGCATACTTGGTGATTTAGGCTGGAAAACCTGATCCAGATGGTGGAAAATTATGTTCATTTCATGATGTTCTGTTAGATTATCCCATTCTCTCTGTGACAGAAAAAAATCATGTTTAGATTTAAGGACTTATACCTGAACCTTTCCAAGGCCTTCACTAACCTGATTTTCTGCTCCCTGGTAAAAGTWTCAGCAAGGATGACTTGGAATTGACTAATAATCTTGTTCTGAKAAGTGGTGGGTCAGTTTTGCTTCAGACTTTGTTTTTGTTTTTATTTGAAACAGGATGAAATACACTAGCKTGTATGTTGCTCATTCATTCACTAAAGGCCAGGGAATTTGAAAGTGTGGGAACTCCACCTGTTTAGCACTSTCTAAAAGAGCTGCAGGCTTCATTCCAGAAATTTGTGCCTGTCACTTGGAGGGACAAAATTCTCTGTCCTATTTTTCTGGAAAGCACTAGTGACATTTTTAAACTTGTGTTTTAAATGATGTTTCAGAAATATGTTGGTTACCCACCAATGGCCTTGGAATAGTTCCCTGAAAGACCTTCAGGGTCACCACTTTCTATGAAAAGCTGAGCATTGAGACTACGCWGGCTGGGCCATCTTGTGCAAACAATCCTATTTGCTTTCTGGCAAGTAGCTTACTGGTAGATTTAGCCGTCCATTTTCCTCAGTGACTCACTCACTGTGATTTGCGTTTGACCCATGAGTTTCATTCCAGCCTGGGCAATTTCCTTTGCTGGGAAAATCAGACAGTTCTTTCAAGAGCTAATTTTCTGCAAGTCTTTCTCCTGGTCTTTTATATTTTCTTCTAAYCACAGTCTGATCTCCCAGACTGTCTYATCAKCTGTTCAGCCTCAGATCAGTCTCASAAACATATTTTTCCTTGTAAATAGACCCCTGCTTYTTCATAAATTTCTGCAGCATGGCTTCATTAGGGGGAAGGACAGTCAGTGGCCTCTTCCTTCTGTCACTGACAAATGAATGAGTAATTTGCAAAACAACTCAGAGTTTTCACATCYCTTCTGACAAAAGACTGGAAGGAATTTCTTTAGAATTAGGACTATAGATGTGTCTATAKTTAACAGTCAGGTTAACAGTCTGATTCACATGGGATTGTGTTCTGGYATTGGCAAAAAACTGCCAAAGAAATCTAATATTTTGGATCTCCCAAATTATTTTCTGTGGCAGAAATTTTACAGAAAATCTTAGGAACATGTACCAAGCACAGCTCAGATGAGGATCACATTCACTCAGATGAGGATCACATTCACTACTTTAGTAATTTTACCCTTGTAAGAGTCATCATTCCCATTTTCAGTCTTATAGTAATAATTTTGCAGGGCTCCTCATGTTTCCCACATACAAGAACAAACAAACATGCAAACAAAATAATCAAAAGGTCAAGCTGTTACAGAGAGTTTAATAAAACATTTKGAATTGCAACTCTAGAGTGTTGCTCAAACATAAAAAAGAAGGCTGTCCACATGGTAACCTCCTTGGACTGTTGCTGTCATTTCCCTTGGCTATATTATTAGCACAGCATGCCTCAAACAGGATGAAAACAGAGTTATGACAGTAGGTAATTCAAGAGAAACTGTCAGCGGGATGAACCCAGCAATGCCACTTGATTTACAGCCCTTACCACTTTCATGCTAAATTTGGGCTAATCCAGCCCCTAAAAGTCAGCACAAAAATCTTGTTCATTGATTTCAGATGGAAGAAAAGCTGTAATTCTCTTAAAACTTAGTATTTTCAGTTAGTCTGGCTAAATAATTGTTGCCCTCTTAATTCTAACTCACTGTTTAACTGTAAATATTCAGTTTTAAGTGSAGGCTTTTTGTATAAAGGGAAGGGTGAATCTCTTCCCACTTGTTTCCTTGCTCAGATGAAGATTGATTAATCCATCATTGCATCTTTCTTAAAACAGGCAGTGCTAATCTGTTTGAGGATGCAAAACCTTCCTGATTTTGCCTTGYAGAACTCCAGGAGTAAATGATATGGCGTTTTCCAGATAATCTTGGGTTCTGCATGAAATTGAATTGCCTAAGTCACAGGAGTTAATGCCGTACTCTTGACTCAGAACTGACTRTCTTTGATACTTACCACAAAGCAGTGTCAGCTGAGTACCAGTCTTGATGAGTTTGGTTATTTGCTTCCTTGATCTGATGATTTGTTCAGCTGATCCCATTGATTTATTAAAACAATTTTCATTGTGATGTCTGAAGACCAGGATAAACTTTGCTGAGGAAACTGTGAGCTAAGTGTAACTCAGCTTCTGCTGGAGCCTGAGTGCTAGTATATGTTTTTCTTCAAAGGGTAGCACCTCAGTGCCCCACCTTGGAAGAAGATCAAGAATACCTTGATGGTCAGTTGCTAAATACACAACTCATTAGATGATAACTGAGCAAGCAKCTCTGTCCTTGCACAATGTTTTCACACAGTGAGCAGAATGAAGGACTAGTAAAGAAAGGCAAACCACGTAAAAAAAWAAGTTCTAGATCACATCTTACTTACTGTACAATCACAGTAAGTAAAATGAATTTATTTATTTTGTGGTTTTTATTGGCAGTTTCAGTAATATAAGGTTTGTTTAGGGTCAGTCAAGCTTTCCAAGTGAGTTTGTGGGCTATGGGAGGACAAGTGGGATACAAGTTGAAGATCCTATTGTATAAATAACCTGTTTCAATTCCCCATTGTTTAGCAGAGTGCATAAGTTAACAAGAACRGAGCTCCCAGACAAGTCAACAAGAATGTCTTATTCTTTATTCAATTTTTCTTATTTTGTTTCTCAGCCATTTTCTTTACATGCTGGATATCAGTTGTAGAGGGAAGGGAATAAAAGTTTCAGTGATGAGCTTTTTTCTTTTTATGAGCTCTTTCAAGTTGAGATCAAGTGAACTAGTAACAGTCAAATTTTACTGAAGTCAAATAATTCTGCTGGAACCAAGCCATTTGCCGTTGGAAGGAGGAAGCAGAGAAAAACAAGTGCTTGCAAGTTAGTCACATGTTGAAATAGAAACATTATGGGGTCCTCTTGACTTGTCAAATCAACCATCATTTGGAGTGKAATTTGGTGTAACTCTATATGTATATGTAATAGCTATGAGTGTTGCATTTGGGACTTCCAAAGATTTTCAGATGCTGAAATTTAATTGAATGTCCTTTGCACTACCAGAATCCTTTTTCAAATCTCTGTCTGCCATCCTGAGAGATACAAAACTGGAGAATAAATACTAGTGAAATAAATACTTGTGAAAATCTTAAGCAAGTAGTCACAAAGGCACATAGTGCTTAGTAGGGGATGTTGCTTTATTGCCACTGGATTTCTTGGGTTTTTAACTGAAAAATTCAGAACTGATTTACGATCCTCATGAAGTTGTTTAACCCAATGATTTTCTGTTCAGAGAATTCCCTTTAAGTAATAGATAAGAAACCCAGTTTCCATCAGGATCCATCCTTTATGGCTGAATTCTCTGAATTCTTTTGCTCCAATTCCTTACTGGTATCATGCCATTCCATGATAGTTGTATGGCTGGTCTGGTAGGACATCTGGCCTTGACCATCTTTTGGCTAAAGAAATGCCCTGATCCTAATCCCCAAATCATAGGTTTCCCAGAAGTGGCTTCCAGTGATGTTGGACAGTCAGCTGTGTTATTTTGAAAACTCCTGCAGTAATTTTATTTTAAAAAGCTAGAATTCACACAGCTTACACTGTTGCCGTGTACATGAACTGCTCTAATAAGCAATTGTCTTTGTACTGTGACCCAGTGAAAATGGAGCAGGCTTAGGTGTGATGGGACTCTTTCTATTTCAGGAAACAGCACAATGAAGGGAAGCTGCAAGATGCARCTCTGTAACACATGCTGAGGTCTCCTTAGCCCTGTCTGTGAAATCACTATGGTCTGGCTCCTGTACATGAGGAAAATTAARGAGTCAGTGAGAATAGTCAAGGAGAAATCTGCCAGAAGATGGTACTGTGAGTCCCTTTTCTGGCCCACAAATGGAAAGACAAGATGCCTGTTTCATATTAAGTTACTGTGTTTTCCAACACTTTTGGATTCCCTAATTTATTTTCAGTCAGTTTATTTTGTTGCAGTGCTAATGGGTGTCCTGATTGCGGTTTCTTATTTGCTTTCTTTGCCTTTGGCCATACTTTAGCATGACAGTTTGGGTTAAAACAAGAATTGAAGTGAGTGTTGTTTATCAAAATGGAATTTCACATCATGTTTCATGGAATTTACATTATTTTAATTCCTTCAGGTGAAATAAATGCTATYTACAGTGCCTAAAGAGAGCAGCTCTTTCTGTTTGAAACTTACTTCTCATCTAACTGAACATAATGGTCCTGAACCTGAAASACTGGTGTGGCTTTTTCTTTTTCAGAGGAATGATTTTCAAAAGGAATCCATGCAGTGAATGTGATGAACCATYGAGCTGCCCGATGCTACTACCCCAACTCTGTCCTTCATCAGATTAAGTTCTCTTCTTACTTCACTGAGCAGCAGCAGAAAGTGAGTTTTGTCAAGTGCGTCTGGAAAATAGCACTTTGAATAAGATCTATCAATACACATTAAGGGTTCTGCCATTTGCTTCTGTTACTCAGATGCTTCAGCTGAGGACAGCAGCATCAAAAGGATTCATATTTTTAAATCACAGTTGGAGGGTTATTATAAGCCCAGACTCCATCTGTTTACATGTTAAGGTGGAAGCATAAATAGTTTCTTCAAAAGCCAGGAGGGAGCTGTGTTTAATTAATGSTGGTTTTGCCACCTGAGGGCATTGGGGCTGCTTGGAAGAGGGTACTAGAAGTGTGAACTACTGACAACTAGAAGAAGATGGTGATACTGCTGGGAGGTATTATCTCTACTGCCAGGTAGAAGAGGGCTGAGTTGTGGGCTTACAGACACCCAAGAGATCAGGGCTTGAAAGGAAAGTGTGGTGAGCAACAGCTATTTCTTAGCAGGTTCATGGAAAAGGTAAGCAAGGGCCTTCCCTCTGGCCCTGTGGGTTAACTAGAGAAGGTTTGACTAGTCCCTCATTACTGGAAGTAGAGAAAATAAGAAAAATCGCTAAGAGATGTGGACTGATCTGAGCAGGATTTTTGAAGTCTGCACAACAGGATGAAGGTGAGCAGTCACACTGGGAAAGAACTTGTAAGTTCAGATCTGAAACTTTTTATCAAAAAAGAGAAAACCAATTTTTCTTAGCTTGTTTTTAAACCTCTCTTTCTTGTTTTCCTTTTTTCTTTAGAGGTGAACTTGCATAGCATATGTAATACAGACAAATGAGGGAAGAGGCATTACTGGAAATATTGTCATATGTTCTGTTCTATGGTTTTGTGTTTACAACTATGACCAATCTATGTTAACACTGCTTGGACTCTGATGAATACTGATTTCCTTGAAGTCACAGGTCAGCACTGGACAGTTACTTTAGAGAATCTGGCATGCTGTGATAATAGCTACGTGCTCCAGCCACTGGAAAGGCCTTTATGAGCTTTTAAGAGTACAGTCTTTTTCTTGTCTTCTTTCCTTCTTTTCATGACTGAGCCTCACTATATTCTTAACAGTTCTTGGAGTTCAAGCTTTGATGAATTGCCCTCTTCTAAATCCTTTGATATTAATGGAGTGCTTTCTGCATGAATGTAGAAGTTAGTCTTGAAAGTGTAGCTCWTGTCTGGACAGGGCAGAAACAACTGTCTGATATTCAGAGAGGGATAAACTAYAGTTTTCTCTAGTTTTCATTCTGGGCAGTATTCAGGAAAGGTCGTGGAAATTTTGTAGGTTTGGTTTTGTAGAGCTTCATCCTGTTTATGTTGCCCTTGTTGCCTGGATGACACGGCTGGTCAAGGATTTCATTCTTCCATAAAAATTTTTTGGCCCATTAATAGAAGAGAAAACTCTAAAAATGATTCTACCATCTGTTTGACTTTGTTGACTTCAGAGAACAAACATATATATTGCATACAGGGCTTTTGATAAAAAAAATGTACACAATTGCATGCTACATATTTTTGTTAGTTACAACTTATCCATAAAATGCTTGATTCTACTTCACTCATGTTACAGACTAAAATGTACCTGTGAACAGTAACTGAAGTCTGTGTGGTGGGTGTCTGTAAATGATTTTTATTGAGTAACTCTTGATGAAAAAAAGAATGACTATACATCCTTTATCCCCTTCRATATCACTGTCTTTCATTTGTAATAGTGTAGTTTAGATCTTTTGACAACTGCACAGTAAAGAAAGAAAATGTGAATAAAAKAAATAGAAAAAAAATTGTTTCCAGTTGTGAATCTTGGAAGAAACTGTAAAACCTAGTTGAGAGTAGCCACATGATGATGAAGAGCATATTATCTCTATTTCACAGGCAGAAATATTGARATATGGGAAGATTAAGTCATTTTCCCAAGGTCACACAGACAACATGGAAAAAAATAGGATCTTGAACTTCTGATTCCAACTTCTGTGCATTTTCTCAGCACTTTGCGGCTGAGCTCGCCTATCAGTATTGACCTTGGCTTTAAAAAATCTGAAAGTCAGAAAATTTATTAATGTACAGTGCCATGGAGTTAGCAAATACTAGTCTGGAAAAATATTTTAAAAATTCAGTAACTTATTAGTACTGACCTGACATACCCTTAACTACTTCATTTTCCTTGTGTGTCCTGAGGGGTTATGTGAATATTTATGCATATAATTGACTTTAGGCATCTGAAAAACTTCATAAAAAAAAGCAGTTTTACCAGTTTTACAGCAAAGGCTGCATCTGGGTGTGTGTAATACATTTGCTGAAATACTGAGGCTTTTGAAGGAGGTACAGTCACTTTCTTTGTAACTCTTCAGACATGGCACTATGTGCATGGGTATAGATTTTYCTTTCTATTTTTCCAGTCAGTGGAAAACATTGTAGCAACTGTAAATATGCCCACAGCCTATTCAGGAAATATCCTCTATGGAACTTTACATTGGAGAMTTTGTGCTATACAATGACATAGTCTCAGATTCTTGTATCCATTTCCAAACCATCTTCTTGTACACTTGTGGAACTCACAATGAAGTTTAAATGTTGAGGGAAATGAGCAATTGCTTTGCTTTTACATTGTGGGTAAAACATGCCCAGCAAAAATTCWCCTTAGCAAGTTATTTACATAGGTGTCATGTTTATTTTTTTAYGTGCATAATGAACTGTACTCTGAGGTTGTGCCTGTGCTCTGACGCAGGTTAATCAGAGCTGCAGCTCTCTCTGCTCTACAGCATATCTAAGGCTTGACTCAAGCCCTGATAAAGTTAAAAATTCTTATCTTCCCAATTACAGTCATCATCAGAAGATYTACTCAGGCCATTTTGCTGTAAATTTCTGTGCTTCTGTGCTTCTGCTTCACTGATTATGACTGAATATGGATTGCAGTAACCCCAATGAAAGGGGATCTTAAAAAGGTTCTCCCACATAAAGTCTCCTTGACAAGGGTTGGTTAAAATTTTCCTGAAAGTGATTGAAAATATCTTTGGTACTAAATCCACATTAATATTGGTGTTTGTGTAAGGTTAAACAATAAAAACAAAACAAAACAAACAACAACAACAACAAAAAGACAACGAAAAACCACAGACCTCAACAAAAAAACTAAACAGAAGGGAAGAAAAGTTCACTGTGAAGGGATGAATCCCTTTCCATTTTTTCACAGCTAGTGGGGTAGTCCTACAATTTACCTCCAGTTTTGGGTGAATCCTAATTTTGGGAGCCAATTTCATTGCCAAAAGAGTTTGTGAAGTAATATCAAACCTACCACTAGGAGTCCAGCTTTGCAGTCTAATATCATGAGATTCTTACATCTCTATATAGAGTGAGCAAGCATTTTCCTGCACAGATGTGACTCTTACAGCATTTTCTTTGCTCTGTGAGAAGGGTATAAAGAATTCAGAGCCCTGCTGCTGCCAGAACTACTGTAACTGTTTTCTTAAAAAAAAAAAAAAAAATCTTGTAACTGGCTTATATCAGAATGTTAAGGCTGGGTTTGCTGTAGAAAAATTTTTCTACCTTTATTAAKCTTAAAGTGGTGATCTACTCAGTCTGTTCTCCGTAGAAGGGAAGTAAATAGGATAGTTTGTAAATCTTTGTATAAGTCTGAAAATGAGCATTTAGGTTATAAATTGGAGAGGGCAAGGGAGGCACAGTAATAATTTTGTGTACAGGATCGTGGCCCATGTATAAAGTTGCTAGGAATTACGCTATTAWTAATTTATTTGTTTTAAGACTGCCTTTATATAAACCTATTTCTAACATTCCTATGACATTATCAACTGCAAGGCTACAAACACAAGTGTTTGAACAGAGATACTTCTTCAGCCACCGTTGTCTGATACTAACACTGCCTTGCAGGTGAGGGCTCTGTCTCAGTCGTGGTTTCAGCAACAGAGACGTGCCCTGYCACAGTTACTGAGATGGCAGTGCCCTTCACGGAGGGATCAGAGGATGAGGGGCASATGGCAGCACTTCTTGAGATGGCCTGAGTAAAAAGTGGCACCAACCACCTCAAGGAAAATGGGCACATGTGGGAATGGTGACTTACCCATGTTATGCCCTGGAGCTCTAGAAACACCCCAAAAAGCATTGCAGGTGTCTTTGTTTATGTCTGAATGTCAAGCTTGCTGTTAGTTTTGCAGATGACTCCAAGAAAAATACTGTTTGGTATTCTGTCTTATCAGAAAATGTGTGAAATGTCAATACTCAATGTCACATTATATGATGCYGCTTTTTAGTTCAGTAATGGGTGTAAAAAAAAAGTTTCCAACAGTATGAAATGTGAATGTAACCAGGAAAACACAGGGAGTAAGCCTGGTGGTATGTTAAAATTGAAAAGATCAGCAACTTGTGGCTGCTGCCTTATGCAGTCCTTCAGTCTTGGCTTGCAGAAGCCATTCATTACACTGGCTCTTGGCATCATCTTTGCAGCTCCAGCAGTGGTGACCAATGGCTCAGCAGTTTTGCAGAATTGCTTGAATGCTCAGACCAAACATTTTCACTGGTGACCCAAGGCTGAGTTTGTGCCCCTGTGAAGGGGCAGAGCTTGTGTGTTAACTCCCAACACTGCTTGCCATTGCCTTTGCCAGCAGCCTGSTCTGTGAACAGCTGCTGGAGTACAAAAGGCCAAAGGGAAGTCTCAGTTTTGCCCTAGTCCTGTCACACTCCAAGTCACTGGAACATATCCAAGTGCATGGCAAACCACAGGCAGTCTCTGCAGAACAGCCTGTACAGTTGACTTTAAGTGAAACGTGAATCATCTCAGTCCTAAATTATTTTAATCCAATCAGTCATCTGTGTTGAAGGGTGTAAAGAGACAGCGAACCCGAGAGAATGGCTGCCAAGTGGAGGATACAGGACACAAATAAATCTGCTAGGATGAGATGAAATATGAACTAATAATGATTTATTCCAAATGCCGCAGGGGTTACACTTGTGAGCCACTTGTAGAGATATTCAGATGAGATGAATTTTGTAGGCTTTCCCCTGTATGATTTTTATAGACACAGCAGAGGTGAAGGAAGGCAAAGCTGTTAGCTACAGAGAGAGTACACACAAGGGTTTTGAAGTGCTCACAAACAAATTCTCCCTAATTAATATATGCTTTACAAGTCTCTTGTAAGTAGATGAGCATGAACAGCTGTAGTTCTTTTTATAGATACAAACTAATCTCTAATACATGTTGGAGTTGAAGGATACAGAGAACAACATGCTGTGGATTCATAAAGCTCTTCTAGCCATGGAAGTATTCTTTTTATACCCTCTAAAAGTGGAAGGGAATGCAGAAGAGTGCAGAGTGTAGTCTYGATGAATATTGCTTGGTAACAAAGTCATGACTGGAGTAAAGACACATATCATACACTTCTTGTTAATACATCAAATGGCTCGTGTGAGTTAGACCTATTTTGTTGACAGGTTCAGTCTTTTGTGACCCATATGAAACAGACAGCATTTGCTAACGTTTCTTCCCATCTTTTACTTGTGTCAATGGCCTTAATGACAAAGGAAGAATTACAAATTTTCCATTTTTAAATATTTTTAAAAGCCTAAGCAGTAAATCATAATAGAACTCCTTAGACTTTATAAATATCCTTGAACATGCTTCCTGTTTTAAGATGTTTTCTTTCTCCTTATTGCTTAGCTGTATATATTATCAGTTTAATATTGTCATCTGCTGGGAGACAATATCCTGTTGTGGTAGGTGARGGCAGAAACTGTAATAGCTTTCCATCTCCAGTGCCTATGATTTTATTWACATAAACCACTGGATTTTGAACAATGTGTTTCTTTGGTGGTTTATTACCAGCCTGAATGCCTCACTTTTTTCATGATCTAACATTTGTTCTGGTGCAGAAGTAATTATCACCTCATTTATAGTTTTAATAACGTTCCTTTTCATAAACCTCAGCTTGACCAAAGTTTCCAGAAGTTTGCTTCAAAACAATGCCCCAGATCTTCTGGAACCCACTGATTTTTCCCCTCAAAGTAATAAGCTTGTTTCATTTTTATTGATTTTAAGGCTTTTATGCTTTTTATGATGTGACACAGAGAAGAATTGATTTACTTAGGACAAAATGCCTTGCTGGGTTCCCTCCATTATTGCAGCCAAAGGGTGAACTGCTGGAAGGCCTGTAGGGAAGAGCTGTTTCAATAGCTCTTTGTGCCCTGTTCTTTTGGGCTCAGCCCCAGTATGGACTGACTAGTGGCAAAGACTGCTATGAATTGAAAATTATTTTTTTCTATTTATTCTTATGGACTAGGAGAGACACAAGGGAAAAGCTGAAAATCACTATTGATGGAACTCTTTACCTTTCAGGGGAAATAAGTAAGTGGATGTAGTGGCTGTGGAAGAAAACCCTCAGCTATGCAAATGCTGCTGTTTAGAGAAGAGGAAAATGGAAATGACAAAGTGGGGATGGTGTGGATTCTAACATCTCTAGAAGAACTATTTTTGGGGAATTAACCCTTTTCTCCCAATATTTACTTTAGAAAAGCACATCAAAGGGTAGACAACTTTGAAGTATCAGAAAGCAGATGTATTGACTTATGCATAAGACATTTCAGTACAAACATTGCTTTGTATTCTGCATTCTTCTCATGAAACCTGCTAAAGGAAAGTCAGAAGGAATTTCATAATAATCTCTTATAGCTCTGGGGAAGTTAGCTGAGAATGGGTTAAAATCATGTCTTAAGCCACTATTAGAAAAGAGGCTAAGTATGGAAAGGAGCATAGCCTCGTCCTCAAGTGTTATTCCTTTCTCTTCCCACAGTCTCAGAAATTAAAGATCTGAGACTTCAAATTACTGCTGAAGTGCATTGCCTTTCATGGGGTTGTAGAAGAAAATGGGAAAAAACATGTCGTTAATGAAAGAAGGGAGCACTGACTGTGTAATTAAGTTTACATTTGGTCGAGAAACTTCACAATAATGAAGAAACAATCCCCAGGAAGTAATGTACATCTCCACCCAAATTTCTCAGCTTTAGCTCCGTAATAGCTTTGAAGTTAATACACTAAGTRAACAAAGCCAGTTTGGAATATCGTACTTCCCTTCCCTCTCAGGTTAATCTTAGGAGRCTTCTTGGTTGAGGTCTGTATAGTGGTAGGAATATATATAAGCAGAGTAAAATCCAAACAAAAGAAATTGTTTCATGAGTTGCATGAAGAAGAACTATTAAAATTACAATGAGACTCAGATCAAGATGTGATCCACTGGAGAGAGTTCTGATGTTGAAAAGATCACTCCTCATGCTTCTATCCTTGCTTGTCTTGTGCTGAGTCTTTGTAGGAGCRTTTCAGACCAGTCAAGAAAGGTATTCTGGATTCAGCCAGTCCACAGCTGATCCAGAGCTGTTGACTAAGATGATATTCTGGCACCACTCATTTAASTGCTGGACTTCTTGTTCTGCTTGTGACTGTTGGATTTAGGGTACAGGAAACCAGAGTTGTATCTAGAAGGCAGCTCTACTCCTTGGACATTGCTGCATGTTATTRTAATACTGGGTATCTGGGCTGAAGCTGGTCCCTGGTGAGACTCTCCTTTTCTTTGTCCAATACTGTTCAGGCTSTCACCTTTCTAAAGGATGCAAAAATTTACAAGAAATGGACAACACAAACATCTACAAGGAGATCACATTGAATCATCTATTAAAAATGGCATATATTTAGATAAGCACTTTACTGCTCCCCATCACTGACTCCAAAGCAAACTTAAATGATGGAGACAAAAGGAGAATTTTTTTTAAATTTCATGAAAAACTTACGAAAATAATTCCCAGCTGTTAAACAAGTTAATGTTTAACTAATGGTTAACTAAAGTATTAAATACTTTAAATACATTAAATACATTTGCTACTTAAGAGCTGATCTACTTTGAAGAAAGGCCAGACTAATAACAGCACATTCAACTCTGAACAGAATTACTGTGAATATGCTCAGACAGCCTATGAATTMAATTGAGTAAGGAGTTTCTCCATGAAGAGGGAGTGTTTAGGGTCATTGGGCAAGAAAGAGGTAATGTAAAATGCAGTGACAACAGCATGGAAAGTTTGAAGGGGGGAGCAAATTACATAATGAGGTAAAAATTGAAGGAAAAATTAATTAGCTTTTTTTGACAATAAGCAATGTTAGCTGTCACTTGAACAGGATGAAAAAATCAGTTMGGATGAGGCTCTCAATAAATCAAAAGGATCACTTCTAACAATAAGGAGACAGTTTGAGGTGGTTGTATTACACTGAGGTTAATGCTGAAAAGATAAAACTGCTTTGTTTTCAACCTGTCGACTCTTTGGTTCCATTTTCATGTCTGTTGAGAATTAAGGCAAGTTGACTGTCTTGTGAGAAATGTCAAATATTTTTACCCATATGCTGTAGCTGTGTGAGATGAAGAAGAAACACACACTATCRCATCTTACTGAATAGGTGACATGGCACATTTCAAAAACTGACCTTGATTTCCTCCAAGATGCATGTTTTAGATGTTTGCTGCAACCCAAAACAGAGAACATTAAATAGGTAACAGCRTCACTTTGTACAGCAGTACTTATCACAGGACTAAGACTGTCTCAGATTAGTGTATACATCATTAATATAAAGATGGTACAAAATTAATGCTTCCATGATCCACCAAGGAAATCACAGACCTCATCAGAGGAATTACTAAATTCAAGAAAATACTCAGATAGCTTAAGGAAGTTTGGCTTCAGGAGAACGCTGTGTTTTCCTTCTGCCTAGTTTCAGCAATGGTCTACCCTTTGTGGTTATGTTTTCTGCATTGAGCTGGGAGTATTGTATAAGTTTTGCATCTCAAAAACAACTTAATTTGTGCTCAGGGACTGGGATTGTCATTAGTTCTTATTCCCTCWGTTAGATGCATGCCAAATATTAAARTAATAGTTCTTACAGTAGATGTAGCCATGCACTCTGTGACATTCAATTCCACCATCAATATATCATCAGCATCTACAGCTGTCTGAAAAATGAACACAGATAAGAAAGACATAAATGGTATATAGGTATGTCACAATATCTAGCATATGCAAAATGCATAGGGAAAAGGAGAGCAGAGGACTGACTGAAAAGCAGTGATATGCTAAATATAGCCTTGGTTTTTTACATCTTAGCATATGTGTTCATTTGGTAACAAATGGTGAGACAACAGAAAGATTGACCAAGTAATTTGGACAGTGAAAGACAAGTATTATTGAATACACACTTAAAACCAAACACAAGGCAACACATYATTCAGATGCTAAGGTCTCTAAAACAGCAGCAGAAATGCAACAAAGACAGCTGAATRATGAACCAGGGTGGGAATAAAAAGCTGATGACCTTTTACAGCCTCTAAGTCATTACTCATTGTGTTAACTCATAGTTATCCGCATCTTCTTGGCAGGAACCTTCATGATAAATTATGGTACAATGTGAAGATTTGTTAACTTGCCAGTTGTCAGAGAATTTAGGTATTACACAGTCTATTACCTTCTCACAATTCCCAGAATCCTGGCTTGTCAGTTTGGCTCCTATATCACTAGTCTGAGTTGTGTCTTTATCCGTTTCATAGGAAATTTGTCTTCTGGCAAGTCTGGAGACCATACTGGGAGTATCAGTTTCTATTTCAGTACAGCCCTAAAATTAATACAACAAAAACATTCACTCTAGGTCCCTTAGACTTTAATCCAATTTGCCCCAGTTTCACCAAGACAGAAATTGCAGAAGAGACAGGCATTGTATAGAAGACATTTCACAAAAATTCTGCCATATACAAGTTCATAGAATGTTTGCTTATAAGAAYTATCAGTCTGTTGCATCTAAAATTTGGCTTACGTTTTTTTTCCTCCACAGGATGCACTGCAAAATTTGAAAGAAAATAGTGTTTTGTTACAATCTATTATTGAAACTTTTCTGATGCATCTCATAACTCCATGGAGACAGTGTTTCCACAATACTACCCACTCAGGAAGCATAGGTTTTTGGAGGAATCAGAGCCAAAGTTTCCAAAGTGGTTTGGGTGGAAGCAGAAATAAATAGAAGGAAATGTCTCAGGACTGCAGAATTGGTGCTTTAGAAATATTTTGTTTCAGGAGGGAGTTGTAKGTTTATAAACTTTGTTCCAATTAATGGGAAAACAAAACCTTGTTAGTGATGGAGTCTGTTTTTCTTTTAAGACACAAGATTTGCAGTGTAAGAGATGCAATATCAAAATGTTCCTTTTCTATTAGCCAGTTTTAAACTTTCCACCTGACTGGAGGCTACCAGCCAGAAGAATTTCATTTTGTTTGGACTGAGAAGTCAAAAGAACAGGGCAAAGAAATTGAAATGTCACTGTTAAAAACAACTGTCAGAATTCAGCACTTGGCTGGATTAGATACAATTATTATCCTGACTGTGAAGAGGAATTGCCAAGAAAATTTTGTCTTTTCAGTTATTTGGAAATTTTGTTTTATATGATTGCAATGAASTAACTAATATGCTTATTTAGTTAGTAATATAGCTTTGAGTTACAAGAGAGAGCSTGAGTGCCAAATACTTGCCCTGTTTTCAGCTGCTGTGCAAAACATATTTTTCCACTTAGACTGGCAGCAGCCAGCTGTTGAGGTCTTCTGTGAGAAAGATGCTGTAATGGATTTACTGATTTGTCTAGATCTGATGAATGTGTTTCCAAATACATCCTACTTTCAGAAAGCATTATCTATTTCATTGCAATCTTGCTTTCACTAGAGAAATATTAAGTGACTAGCAGTTTCTTTTTTCTGTGTCCTGGCTGCAAATCTGTGGTCTGACAAGCACAGCCTATAAGTATGATCAGACTTTCAATGGAGCTCAGACTCTCTGCTTCCTTTACTTTCTAAAATTCCTGTTATTCCATCTTTCCAGTCTTCCTKTAGTGCCACCAACCATCAAGAAGAAAATTATCTACACTCTACTTTTACACTTCAGCCTTCTGTCTTTAATTTTGCTTTGCCCCTCCACTTTCTCTGGAGCTTTTATRACAAGCACCATAATTCATTTCATCTAAAGAATCTACCACTTGGAAGGACTCTATATGAAAATGAATTACTTTGAAAATAAAAATGGCTGTATGGGAAGTGTCTCCCTTACTGATTCACTGTCAGAGAGAGAAGATAGTCTCCTTTTTCCTTTGTGCAGCCCACTTATGTCAGAAGACTGGCTGGTTACGGTTGCTCGTCTGGAGGAGTGGTAACTGCTGAAGGACCGTGAGTCTTTAGGAGAAACTCTCAGTAGCGATCCAAGGCAAGGAACATGTGTTGCAATGGCTCTTCTAATGGATAAGAGGTAGAACCAGTTAGATTTTTTTTCTGTTAGCACAAAAATCCAATCATTATAAACAATGCATTTAGTCAGAGAGATGAACTAATGCTGCATGGACTGGAAAATTACTGGGTACATAAAGAGTTTTCCAGATATCAGATATCTCATATACAATTGCCCTGCAAGATCACTTATTCGCAGTGTTCTGCAGAACTCAAATTTATTGCTTGGCAGGGATAAGGGCATTAAAATACAAGTCTTGGAACTGAAGGGAGCTATTAAAACTATGTTTTATCTGCTTTCAGCTTAATCAGGGCAAAAATAAAATTCTGTCCCTTTAAACTGAACCCCACAGAAGTACTACATAATGAATTATTTTAATCTTCCCCTAAGCAGCTATTCTAGCTCATCTTACACATCTGTTTGCTGGCTATCTGCAGAGTTGTACAGAGTGTGCATTTATATTACTGCATTACTTTGCTCATATGCAGCGTTAGGAAACTCTGGCCTACCTTCCCTCTTCCTGCCAGCCTTCCCCACTTAGGTGTTCCTGCCCACCTCTTCTCTATCCAGTTTCTCAGCAGGTCTTTGTAAGTGGTGAAACAACAGCCTATCTGTGGTTTTGCTGCCATCTGTCAAATCTCACTGCCTGCMTCTAAACTTGGAATGGTAATGACCCTCCATGTTACCAGTCAGAGGAAATACTATCTGAAATATGAAAGCCTGGAGAAACGTGATGAGGATGCACCAAATAGGGAAGAGGTGACATGGCCATCTCTCACAGGCTTGGGTAATGTACCAGTGCTGTTTGCAACACTGCCCAATGTCTGCCTCTCTCATGAAGACAGTCAAAAATCTATAGTGCTTTCCTTTGAAATAGAAAGGTTTCCATCTTTTATCATGCAGTAGGTRAATACAGATCAGTATCCATAAGCATCTCTAACTACCATCTGCTTAGTAGTTTGTTCCAAGTACAAATTCCACTGACATTTCTATGGCACTGAGAAGTGTTCCTGTGGAGGGCAAGGCTGTCCTGCAGAGTTAAAATGAGCAGGTGAAGAAGAGGTCAGGTACTAGACCTAAAAGTAACAAAGTTACTCTCAGATTTTCTTTGCTATATTAAACATAACTTGCAAGAGTGAACTTACCTGTATTTGGGGTGAGTGATGGCATAAATGATGGGGTTATGGATGACAGAAGCTTTGGCAATCACAGCTGGTATGGAGTTCATGRAGGGTGTTAGGACGTGGGAATATCTAGAGCAATGCAAACACATTATATGTTTACTGTTAAGATCTGCATTATCTATGCAGTTATAGGTGGCAAGACAATACTTCATTAAGGCTGAAGAGAGAATTAAAGCAGAGTTCTATACCAAAACAGTGAGAGAACAAATTCTACACCCTTTGCCTGTAAATATCAACATCAATCTAATTGCATTTCTGAAAAATACTATTTTCTTGCRGCTTCTCTTGYAGCACTGCACTAGTATGACTCAGGWTGATGGTAATTCCAATGTTGTTTAGCCKAGGGACAATGTCAGCCTTTAAGAAGCCTGTCACCATCCTGGTGAGGAAGTTTTTCATCATACTGTGGGAATTTTTATGCTCCATGTAGAGGTAGAAATGGTTTGCCAATTGCAGTACAGGAACCATTTTGTCAGCTGACTGAATGTTGAGATGCCATTTCACCTTAATTTAAGGTTTTTCTCTGCTAAGAGCGTTCTCCATGTGCAATTTTTAGCATAGTTTCTCCTGATCATACTTCAAAAGAATTGCTTAGAGAGATAAATCTCCACAGCTTCTGGATAACACACAACAGCATGACCTTACTGGAATGGAGTTTTTGACCCTGAGCTGTGAGAGTGCTTTGGTAAGGCTGATGRAGAGTTGAGCTAGGAGAAACAAACAATGGCAAAGCCTTGTCTCTTAAGCTAACCATTGCCAGAAAATGCAACCTATAGACCAACAATATTAGTGAGCACGATTTGTGCTGGCTCACCATTCCCCATTCAAAGTATTATCTAAAGGAATGAAAGTTCTTCCTTCCTTTTTCATATGTTGCTCTTTCAGATGATTTGTCTTTAGTCCAAGACTGTAGCCGCAGGCTCAATGTCTGCCTCCCATATGTCGCATACAGTGATTTTATCTGAGTCCATTGCAATAAAAGTTCACAGAAGATATCCAGACTTAGTCTAATAATCACTCAAAAATCCCAGAAATATTGCCTAAAAGATGTAGTTCAGAAATGGAAGAAAAACTGAATGAAGCTATGTTGCTCTCCAGATATCTTCACGAGCAAAATTTGCAAATGCCCATTTGTGACATACTGCAGTTATAAAATTGTCCATTTGTTCAGATTTTTTTGAGTGTGAAACATGGAGTAGAAGYCAAGTTCAGTAGGTACTTGATTCTCCTGAGGCAGATGCAGAATCGTGCAGGACAGCCCAACAGTTTTATGCAGCTGAAATGGTCAGCTTAAAGCACACCCTGTTTTCTTTTAGTTCTCTTACAGTACTGCAAGATGGCTGTTTTGCATCTCTTTGTCTCCTTGCTCCTCCTCTGTGTCTAACCGGTCACATGTCACCAATGGTGGCTGTCCTGTACCTAAGCTCCCCCTCTGACAGGAAATGGGACACTAGGACACGAATCTGAAGGATTCGTATTTCTGAGAGAGGAATTTGTTTACCTTCGTGGAGAAAATATTCGCTGCAGCTTGGAATTACCTCTCTACWTACAAAGGGAGAGAATTCACTTCCCTGAGTATTTTTTCTTCTTAAACCTAAGATTTCGAAGTGCTGTGTTAGGACACTGCCTGCCTAAGCTGCATTTGAGATGAGTCCCTATGGTGGCCTCTTCCTTGGGTGTGTAACAAAAATCACCCTTGTCTCCCAAAATGCTCCATCATAAGTAAATTTGGACTGTCTGTCAATTTTAGGAGCACCTCCTTTTTATTTCTAACTTGAAAAATACAAAGAGAAGTATTTTGTACTGTCATAAGAATCTTCCACTTGAGGCTTTGCAGGTGACAAGCCTTCCTAAAGCAGATAGTCACACACATTTTAGAGAAGCTTAGCAGAAACACAGGAAAATTCACATCTTAAAGTGGGAGAAATAACCATATAGAGCTAAGGCATCTGGGCTCCCAGTTCATTACTTGTGCCTGGATTCTATCAGCTGTAGGCTGGTGTCAAGCTGTGTGCAGATACTGTTTCAGTACTATCACACTTCTGTTGAAATTACTGTATAAAATGCTGGCAATTACACAGATGAACATGCTTTGATGTTTTATATTTATGACCTTTTATATCCAGCATCAAAAAGCTCTCAATGCATGTATGTACTAATTTTGAGCTTGCTTATACATGTAAGGAATTGCAGCCATTTGATGAAACATGAGGAAATGAATAGACTTTTGTAAGTTAAAGAAGTGGAGAAAGAAAAGAGAATCAACCCCTGGATGGATCTTTTTGTGTCCTTTATTTAGCATTTTAGTACTAAATAAAGTTCAGATTGTTCAAGTATCCTAGCATAGAGAATGTGTTCAGAAATCTTCAGCATGGCAGTTGCCAGTAATAATATTCTTTTTTTTTTTTTAGTTTTCTTAAAGTGAAACTAAGTCATCATGTRCCCCATTTGTTAAATATCAGTCCTAAATATATGAATGTTTTAGACACACTTCAGACATTAAACTTGACAAGTAGCTGTGACTTTCATCTCTCTTTTACAATTTCACATCTTTTGCTCTTACTGAATATTCCTTTGCTAATACATTTATAATTACCCAGCAAAAGCTACCAGAGCAACAACAGAGTATGGTGACCAGGAAATAACAAAAAACAAGATGACAATCAGTGCAATTTTGGCCATCTTCCACTCATTTTTCATCCTCTGATACTGTTTCTGGAACTCTTTATTTCCAYGTTTGCATCCAAATGTCTGAATAGACCTAGAGAAAATAAACATACAACAGCAAAAAACAAAGGTAGAAAAATGAGCAAAGAGCTTTATGAAGTGGAGCAACAATTACTCTTCTGCTACTTTAGGTTAGAACTCATGCATGTTTTTTGCATCTTAATGCAAGTATGTGACCCATCCTTCACAGTTCGATGTACTTTTGCTGCACTAATCAGTGGCAAGATCCACATTGTGCTTCAGTGAARAAAATAGCCCTGTACCAAAAGAATTTCCACATAAATCAGATATTTAAGCGAATTGAATAATGCTGTGTAAAAGACAGTTAGAGGAGTCTTTACTGCCGTAGAACCAGTTTTACCACCTTGCTGTCACTTTGTACTTTTGAGCTAAGTGACCAGATCTGCTGGGATCTACAGGACTGGTACACACAGATGGTACAAGCAGTGGTGGGCTGGCCTTTATTTTTAAAGCAATAGCTTTTTGTTTCAGAGTCCTGTGATTAAATCTTTAATCTCCTTTTCACCCTTTTTTTAAAAAAKAGTAGTTCAATTCCATCTATTTTTCTGTGAAATAGCTACTGATACACTGCCATGAGGTGTTTCTGAGGCCTCTTTTGTATTTATTCTGGTTGGTTAATTTCTGTACCCTTTTCCATGTCATTAGATAATACACTGATCAGCTCTGGCCTAAAGTCAGGAGTGGCCCTTCTAAGAATCATGTTTCATACCAGGTTGACTATTGACAGAATTCTTATTTGGTTTYCTGTCTCAGTTGTGCTTACAAAATAAATAAGAGAAACATCCCATTTTTTTTTGTTTTGTTTTTTGTTTTTGTTTTTGTTTTAAGAAAACAGTCACTTAAACACAAGGATGAAAATATAGGACAGTTCGCAGCTTACTTGTTGGCCTTCCTGATAGCTTCAAATATAAAGACATAGCTGTATATGATGGCAATCAAAGGAATGAAAAAGACAAAGCAGAAAAGCAACATCGTGTAGGCACGGACTGATGGTGTGAAAGTCATGTAGTCCCAGGAGCAGGAAGTCAGCAAACCCTCAGGAACATATGCACCTAGAAAGAAGGACAGGAGAAAGCGTAAACCACAAAGTGATTGCTATTCTGAGAGCAGAAGTTGAATAAGTTACTTAGAATAACAGGATTTAGTCCTATTTCTCTGAAAGGGAAAAAAGGTTTTAAGAGGATAAATAATTCTTCACGTAAGCACTTTTCAATTTTCTTTTATTTTGTTTCCCTATTGTATTCATGTTTAGCAGTCTAAGCATTCAGAAAATTGAGTAATTTTGCTTCAGCCTTGAATATTGTTTAAAACTCATCATAGTCAAAGGGAATCTCTCCAAATTCTTATTTGGATCTTGGACAAGACTTGYATAGTTTTTAAATATCTCCATTTCCTGTCAAATTGCTTTCTTCCTATGAAGTCAAACCAATTGCTCTAGATACCACTTCTCTAAGCATGTGCAGATAAGAAAAATTGACTGGGCAAAGGAGAAAGATTAATTGTTTAGACCAAAATATTTTGTCATGAAGTAAAACTGAGTAGAAGTAAAAAAAAATACATACTTAATGTTCTGCCTGAAATAAAATATATTCTCTTTAAAGGAACTGTTTCAAACTGTTAAATAAATAAATTGGCAATAGCAATGTCTTTTTACTTTTGAATTTTAACTGCTTATGCTGATATTTTCTGTTCAGCTCTTAAAAATATTGCAACAGATGTTCTCAAATGCATTAATTACAGGGTCAGAGTTCATACTGTGGACACTATTACAATCTAATCTAAGATAATAACACCCTTCAAGCAATTATTCCACTTTCTTCAACTGAAAATCTATAATCTAAGGTTATATGGTCATTTTGTTATTTTAACAGCTCCTCACTCAACTAAAGACTGCTTCTGCCAGTATTGCACTTTGCCTGCTTAAACACGCTTCATGTTAATGGGGGACCACAATGGCAATAATAYGACAATAACAAAACTCTGCTGAAATTCTACTCAGTACCTGAGTTGGTTGTTGCATCCTTTAATAGTCAAACATGTCTATGTTCTCACCTCAGGTGCCAGATACATTGACTTCTGGAATTAGGGAGCATAATGAYGAACTGGGGTTTTGAATGATGAGTTCATTCTAACTTAGTGACTGAAACTGGTGACTCACAGGAAATAATGGTAGTGAGGCAAATTCAAATGAGGACAGAAACTCTCTTTGCTACAAATTGCAGCAATCGAGGTGCTGTATGAATGTTCCAATTMCCATGTGCAAAATTCACATTTACAAAAGCATTTTAGTTACTACTAAATGCCATCCTTATTGGAAGCCAGYGACAACACCAATGACTGAATGGAGAATGTGGACATGACACTTGAGTGCAATTTGTCCATCCAGAACACAGTCAAGGGTTTCTGAAGATCTGCTTGCACAAATGCTCAGACTCTTTTATGTGAATAAAAAGAATTAAATTGGTGCTGCTGTCTTAGCACCTTTGGGGGAAAAAATTAATCAGGAATAAGACAAATACATTTATTTAACTTTTATATTGTTGAATTTGGTTCAATAGAAGTAGACATGGGATAATGAGCAGGCGTATTCTTCATAAATTTTGGGCATGAATTTATGTACTGCTTTTTATGCAGTTAGTAACGTGCTTAAGGAAAAGCACTACTGTCATATAATATGCTGTAATGCATGCTGTGTTTTTTTCTTTTGATTAGAGMTCTTCAGTTTCAATATGCATTTAATCTTTTTTTTTCAAATTGGTTTACTCAAGCCTGGCATACGAGCTATTGATTCAACCCTCTTCTGTACTGGTTTTAATCCAATACTATGAGAGCAAAAAAGTTTTATTCCATTTCACTTACTCCATCCAAAGAAGGGTGGGAGACTCCAAGCCAAAGAATACAGCCAGACTCCTATCAGGATTATTAGGGCCTTCTTCTTAGATGTCACTCCAACAGAAGCCAGAGGTTTTGTGATGACAAAATATCTGTCCAAGGCAATCACCATCAAAGTGATCATAGATGTAATGCCAAAAAGAGCTCCGCAGAAGGCATACAGCTCACAGCCTTGCAATGAAGATGACAGAAGTAGCAGTGAAATTAATCTACCCATACTAATTAATTTCTAGGAGAGTTCATAATGTCTTCTGGAATTTGTAAAGCAATGAAACTTGAGTTTTCCTGAAGTTATAATGCTACTTCAAAGCTGCTGTCTGTCTTGCTAATTACATTATCCATGGAGATAAACTTCAAAGATTTTGTTTGCTTCAATTGCTGGAGACAGTGATACTTAACATATTTTCACCCATTGATTTCTGATGTTTCTAGTAGGGTAATTTCAGCAGTCCATTAATATCTCGTTTTACTCCAGTTTTACTGCAGGTCYCATAGAAGCAGCTGTTTTCCTTAACAATGGGATATATTTACCTTGGTATCATGGAGCTGTTCATATCTCAAGGGCAGCAAAACTGAAGTAAATATGAATATATTAATAATTTAGCTGAAGTAAATATTCAGACTATGAATACATTAATGAGTGATTTTAATTGTTCAAACAACATAATGAGKAAAAGCAGTGGTTTGCATTAGTTTTATCATGTATGCAAATGAACACTTAATGGAAGTAAAATATAATATGCTTTTGGTCATCAGAGATCAAAATAGCAATTTTACTTCTCTGAGTTTCCTCTTTGTCAGTACCTGTTCAAGAGGCAAAAACTAGTATTCCTCTTACAACAGTTATAGTGGAAGAATGAAAACACTTTCATTTCACATTTTCTCACTACACAGGAAGTCTTAGCATTTCAGTTGTGAAAAATKAGGTTTTCCAGGCTTTCTTGCCTCACTTTGCAAGGTTCAAGTCCCAGACCAGGTTATTTAGAAGGGCTTTTAAGCTGGTCTGCTGAGGGGCAGTGCTTCTTTGTCAAAGGACTCCAACAGTAGCTAAGTCATGAGGTGACTGGGGAAGAGCAGAAACAAGAAGATGAGTGCTGTGCCTCATGTTGCCARTGGTGCCTCTGTATCTGTCTCATGAATGTAATTTTCGTCTCCTGGTGGCAGTGTATTTATTGCACACAGACACAAATGTTCAAAGAAATGTTTGTGTCAACACTGAAACAGTGTTGAAAAATGCTCCCAATATTGCAAGAGTACCTGAGGGTAGGGAAATGGTAGATTAGCTGCCACTACGGTAAGAACATAGATAGCGATATTTTAAAAAGAATATATACAGACCTTTCTCACCAAAAATCCAGCGTTTGTAGAGGCTGTTGGTGAAAAAAACTGGAGACTGTGTAATGGACATCAGGAAGTCACTAATAGCTAGATTGATGATGAGTATGTTGGCTGGAGTCTGAAGGCTCCTACTCCTACAGAGATCAGAAGAAATTTTGCTAAACACTGCTGCACTGTTAATTCTGCTGTTACTCATTCCTGTGAGTTCACAATACCAAGGAACACTAYGTGGTAAACTAAAGCAGAGTGCTTCTCATTTTTCTCATGACGAAACATGAGCAAGGCTCAGKTTTACACCTTTACACTCCTGTGCATTTTACAGGATTGTTTTGATAACGAGCTCTGTGATGGAGATACATCACACAGTTCTTTAAATATTCTAACCCAGTGCACTTCATGTCCACGATTAACAGGAAATTAAAGTTGATGTACACTATGGATTTCTGGATCTGGATTTTGTTAAGCAGAAGGGACATACATTTTCCACTGCTGATAAGATAAGTTCGGTGACTTCCGAACACAGGGATTAAGCAAACTCACTATGTATCACATGAAGCACTTTCTTCTCTGTGATACTCATTTCACCGGCCCAGACTCTGTCCTTAAAAGAACAATAAGCAGCCTTCAGTGTATTCTGCCTGCTTTGGTTATTCACAGTATTACAGCACAATGTTTTAAAGGTYACACATTAAAATTCAACCAAGAGCTCTTGAGTTTCAGGTTCAGTGTAACTATGTGGCTCCTTTCTCAATTTCAATCTTAAACATAATTGAAAAATACATGAATAAATAGTTTTTTTGCACTGTCCCAGAATCAATCACTAAGATCACCGTCCCCTGGCTGTCAATTTGGGAACAAAGAGATATTACTAGGTGTTCATAGGTTGTGTGTATTTGTTTGTAGTCTGTAAAGTTATTGAACACCTTTCTGTTTCAGGCAGCTGGTTGTCTTATGGTTTGCCATTATCCGAGGCTGCTTTGTAAGCACCTAAACTGTTCTGAATTTCTGATGTGCTCATTATTTAGCTATCAGTATCCCTTTCTGTCTTCATATCACCTTCAAATGAAGACAAGCTGTGCCTCCAGTGGAAGTGTAAGTGCCGTCACTGGATTTCCTGTATAGGACCAGCCAATGAGCTAAGCCGGCTCATGTACTTCACCCTCACATATCTGATCTGCATGCCAACACCTTTTCTCTTCTTAAGGTCACTGTCATTCTCACTTAAGTTATAGTATCTTCTCTAAATAAATGTACTGAAACCTACTCCTTAATGCACCCCATAAATATAGGCTTGAGGCCAAGAAAATTTTTGTCCACACTCCAGTGATGTCAGTTAACATGGCCAAATGATCACATAATTGCTGTTATTTTGGTTTATTACTTTAGTGCCTAAAGACTAATCACACAGTAGAAGCTCACTGGCTTGGACGTCATGTCAATGCTTCCCCAGTGTGACAAATCAGACACAGAATGAGGAGTGAACAGGAATGGTGAACAGATGACATTGTTGTCAGAGATCCTATTTCTGTCAGATATAAAAGTTGGAATGTGGCTTTAGTTGAAAGGAAACAAACCAAGTGTAGGAAAATGTGAAAAAAAAAAGGGACATGGCCACTAAGGAACAGGGGGGAAGAAGGAAATTGAGTGGTAAGAAACATGAGGAAGGAAACATCTAAAATGGAGCAGATTTGTGGGATMCAGCAGGACAAACCAGTCCATCAGTCCAGTGCAGACACTGTTCAGCCAGTAGAAGGACAATCACTGTAACATTTCTACTTTGACTTCCTATTGCTTGGCATATCTGGGTGGTTCTTTACAATTTTGATAGCAATTTTGCTATGGCTGCGGTTAATAGGAAGAAGTCAGAAGGAAATGGCAACTTGTTCCTTTTTTCCTACACCAATGTCTCTCAGTGCATTTTACTCCATAAAATAGTCTGATAGTATTCCTGGAATGTGTTTGCAGAGCAYAGGATATAATTCAAATTCATAAATTTGAGTATTTTAAAGGACATTTGAAAGGAAAGTACCTGCAGAAAGCATAGAAGACCAGGAAATTACCCAGAGTTCCTGTGATCCCCACTATAAGAATGACTACTCCAATYGTATAATGAGCGTGATCTGGGACATCCACTGTAGGAAAGACACCAGGAACATCTTGCACTGTCATCTTCTGTGGAGCAAAYAAGAATAAGGCATGTGCTTCTCTAGAAGAGGAAACAGTCAAGAATGCAAAAAGACAACAAGCAAAAAAAGTCAGAATAAGCTAATTGCTTTTAAAATACATTTCCTGTTGATCGTCTTTGGGGGAAAAATATGCCATCAGCAGTGCAAAGGGCAAAGGACAAAGGACAGTTTGTGTGTTTACTGTTGATTTAGGAGTCTGGTGAAGAAAAGCAACATATTCTTTCCCAAAAGAAAAATAAGGATATGGAGGACAAAAAGAGACAAGAAGGAACCTGTTTCATTGCATCTAATATCAGATAATGCAGCCTTTAACAACAAGTAAGCTTCCTATAGATTTAATTTCAGGTGAATTTCTGTACCTGTGAAGTAAAATTTCTTGTACTCTGACATCAGTGTCTAGATTTCTCTCACTAAGTAGAAACAAGCTATGGATAAATAGGCATTTACTCCTTTGGCAGATGGCAATTTCATTTTTCCCACCGATTAACACTGAATTGTGAGCTGCCCTCAAGAGCTGATTACCAAAAGCGTTGCAGCTTGAACAAGAGTCTTTTGGAAATTAAATTAAGGATCAGAAAAAACTAAACCACAAATCTTTTATACYTTATGCCTCATTTCCACACCAGTTTTGGTTTTGGTCTGCCTGAATCAAGGTATTTTGCTTTCTGTGAAGTGTTTCATGAACCACTTGATTGAAGCATTTSTATTTTAACCTTTTAATAACTCACTGCGAAATTCAGTAGCCAAGTCTGCAGTATTGGAAATGGGTATTTTTTGACAACAGAGGTGGACATTACACTTGAATGCATCTGTGAGGTTAGGCTGAGATTATTACAGGCAGTGTGTATTTAAAACCAATGTGCCAGTAGCAAGAGGTGAACCCCAGGAGTGCCTGGAATTCTGGAAGAGATTGCTCTGTATGCTGAAGATCTGCCTACAGCAATCCTCAACAACCAGAGCGCACTCCCTGCGTTTCTACATTAGCAGCAATGAAATGCTGGACAAATACTCTGATTTTAGAGAAAGAAAACGTAGCTCTAGCTGTTATTGTAATTGCAGCAAAATGTTAAGGTTGATATTCTCACTGAAGGATGGTATCACAGCATTTATTATTCAGATTCCTGCAGCAAAGTGGAAGTTGGTATAACTAATAGCACCAACGGGCATCTTGCCCAGGTAGAAATTGCCATGCTCAATCCACTGCCAGTAAACTAACAAAAATAATCCCATAAAATCCATAGCAAGTGGACAGGGAGAKTCTGAGATAAAACTCTTTCAAGTAAATGAGATCAGGTGTTCTTTGGTTTGGGTTGGTTTTATTTCTCCTTAGCCTTTTGGCTAGAGCGTTTTGAAACTGCTGTTCTGTAGAAAGTTAATTATGAATGTTAGTGGAATGGAGTTTTCTGATGTTTTCCCCTGTAGCTATCCATTTAATCAGAACTGGATCAATGTAATAGAAATGAGGCAACTAAAGGAGCTTGTTTTGGCTACAAAGAACAGATTAAAGGGGCTTTAATTTGAATTAAATTTGTGGAAGACTAAGGACRAGGAAAAATTTAAAAGATAAATATAAATACACAAAAACCTTGAGAAATCACAAGGGAGGCAAGGTTATTTAAGGGAAAGTAGAAGACCTTCAAATTACTTATTCACAGATTAAACAAGTTCAGAGTAATAAAAAAGTCAAGTGTGAGAAAAATAAAGGAAYAATATTTATACTTGAGCAGTGATAGGGCATAAATTATAATACTACATATATGATCAAGAAAAGGTATGTGGCAAAAGGAATAAATCAGCATTTTAGTGTGGACTTCTGTAGGCCTTGGATTTTTAACCAAGGGTAGAACTGTGGCTGTTCTCTAAGAGAAAAAAAAACAATTATTAAAAACAAAAATTAGTTTTATTGTTTTCATTGGAAATACAATTGTTATTCTTTAAGTCAAAGAAAGGTACTAGTTGATCAAGAAGGCATTAAATCAGCCCTAAGCACTTCAAATCTATCACTAAGTTGCCCACATACAGCTTCTTTACTAGAAGACAAAAATAGTGCCTGTATCAAGTTCAGCTCTGTGTCTTCTACAGAAATTGTGCATCAAAAGAAAGGATAGGGAGAAAAAGAGTGCTTTGAGAAAATCAGGTCAGCAGGATAATGAAGAAATCAGGTAATTCCCGAAGCTTTTCTCTATTCAGTCTCTCCAGTGCATTAGCCTTGTTTATTCTGTCTTCTGTTGTCATCCCACAGTACAAGTGGGCAAGGGAGACTAAAAAAATCCCCTGTTGCAATCTCTRTTGTAGCACTTGTCCTTTGAGAATACCCTGAACAACTATTTCAATTGCAGTGATATTACACAACTGTATTGCCTTGCATGTTTTTCTGTTCGACCTTATTCCTATAAACACCTTGTAATGAAGATATTGGTACTGGGACTGGCACAATTTAACATTTTGCTGGCAACATGGGCAGTGGGATTGAGGGCACTCTCAGCAGGTTTGCCAATGACACTGAGCTGTGTAAGTGCTTCTCTAGTTCCAGCACCCCTGCCATGGGCAGGGATGCCTTCCACTAGATGTCATCCAGCCTGGCCTTGAATACTTCCAGAGACAGGGCATCCACAGCTTCTTTGGGCAACATACTCAGAGCCTCACATCCCCACAGTAAGGAGTCTCTTCCTAATATCTAATCTAAACCTACCCTCTGCTTGTCCTAACCACTGTGACCTTGTAAAATTTGCCCCCTCCAAGTTTCTTGTAGTCTCTTTAGGTAGTCAGGCTGCTCTATGGTTTCCTTAAAGCCATCTCTTCCTCAGGTTCAACAAGTCCAGTTGTCTCTTTAGTCAAGATTATAACTTGTATATTATAGCACTCAAGTTCTGTAACTTTGTTTGGGTGTGTATGAAAACAGGCCTTTTACTAGAGCTGTGTAAGAATCTACATTTTTAATTTCTGACAGGCATATAATTTATTATTTATTTTTACTGTAGTTTTGCAGAATCAGTTTGAGAAGTGCCACGCTGGTTCAGACAAGCATTCCTGACAAAACACCAGCCTGCCTTTAGCCAGGACCAGGTATTTCATAGAGGTGCCAAATGTGTGTAATGAATAGTGATGTGGGAATTTAAGTAGAGTCTTAGTAATTGGTTTCTAYCCTAAACCAGTGTTATTATCCCTTGGAAAGGAAAATCTTAGTTCTCCATAAATTTTAATCCTCCATATATAGGTGTAATCCTTTGCTAAATCCTACTCTGTCATTTGCCTCAATAGATGCAGCACGAAGAAATTATGAAGCTGGTCTATGCCAGTGTGTTTCCTGCGAGCAGGTTTAAGTGCATCCTTGTGGAAGCACTAGAGCTGAGGGGAAGAGATAGGTTTAATGCAGTTTGCCTTCTTAAAATGTTCACTRTCTTCCTTAAAGGAATGTTTGTCTACTGCCCACAACAAAACAGCTAAAACAGAACTGTGTTTGCAATTGTCTTTCAGTAAACTTGACTGAGACTTTTAAACTTGAGATGCTTTCTGCGAGTTTGGAGAAAAGCAAATGTTTTATAGATAAATATGCCTAAATCCGTGCCGAGGCACAATATGGAGCCTCATTATTCTATATTTATGGCCTGCTGCTACAGCTGCTTACAAARGAAGCACAATTCTTCCTTGAGGGACAATCCGAGGAGCCAGGTTGCTTCTTTAGGAAGAGACAGACTAAGGCTTGGTGCAAGCAGAGAAGGGAGTAAAAATGAATCAGCCACAGAGCAGATTCATTAGGGTACATAGGGCAAAACTTGTATTTCCCCATGAAGTTTGTCAAGAACCTAATCTGAAGACAGTTGAAAGGATAAAAGACCTCCTTTGCAATCCAAACAAAAATTACAATTCCTAAGTGATTTATCCAGGTAACAAGGAAGTCTAGATCAGATGTTAAATCCAGGAATATTTGATGCCTGCATCTGTTTTGTGTTGATTATCTGTTTATCATACGGTTTCCTAAAGAGAACTTTTAAAAGTTATTTATTAAGTATTTTAATAGTTACTAATAATTCAGTTAATAAATTTAAAAACTCAAACTGCTGAATAACTTCTAGCAGAAGATACACCATTTTTGAACATCCAACACACATCCCTGTATCATGAGAAAAATACTTGTGTAAAACTTACAAAAGGACAAAATGCAAAAATACAATTCAGCTATTACTGAGGAAAAAACATCTTCTTTTTTCAGAGTGAGGAAATAAAATCATCACTTAATTACCATTCACTTGGAGATGATTATTACTGAAGTCCTTCTAAGGCTAACAGTTATGATGGTAGGAGCAAGGCCATGCAAGCAAATACTCRTACTAAATATAAATCATATCTGATATAGCCCACTCCTCACAGTCTCACAATGGCAAGAATATAAGATCAGGTTTAGTTATAATTACAGAGAAAGAGGAAATCCTCATAAGGTCATTTGGGCATTTGAATATATTTCAGTGTTGATTCTGATTGATTGATTTATTTGTATGACATCAATTCCAAAGTCAGCAGTAGAAAAAACTATGTCAAGGACAATTTTTCAGCTACTTCTGCCTGAACATGGCAGATGGATTGTATCTAACTTGGTTGATACGAGACAACGAAAGGAAAAAGAATATAGGGAGTGTTTTGTGGTTGCGTTTATGAATTCACCTAACTTCAAACCATAGGCACTGGGTTTGCGAAATGAATGTTATAATGGAATAGAGYCCAGTTCCAAAACACTGTAAGTTCTGGAAGTCCAACACAGACTTTGGCAATATAACAAGTTTCTTTGTTCCTAATTTTCCTACAAATACAGGTGAGAAAGCCACTTATTTACACGGTATGACTTGCACAACCAGTGGTAGTGGCTAGCCCTTTTACATTACAACAAATTGTATAGTTTTAAAAAATTACCTGACCAGAAACACTGTAATTTCCTGGGGTTTCCTGTGTGGTGTTTGTACTSCCTACCTACAAGAGGCCTTGAACAATTGCTAGGACCTGCTCTCTTTCACAGGTCCTTGCTCTGATTTCTGAGCTTGCCTCTGTGGGCACTTGCTGTGTGATGACAGGCGGCACAGAGAGGAGTGTAATCCCCCCTCAATTATGGGTTCAGCAGGGTGACGCTAACTGCTAAGCCCTTTCCAGCAGACAGCAGGGCTTTCCATAGATGATGCTTGTCCTGTTGAGCAATTTGGATAGCAGATTTTGTATCCCATCTTCCGGATTTAATCTCAGCCACAAGCAGCACGTACTGCTTTCACTCCTGAAACTCTCTTAAGGCAGTCTTTGTGTCAAGTTAAAACACAAAATTTTGGCAATACAGACACTTGACCTAGGGAGAGGAAAGGATCAGCTAATTAKATCTTTCAGCAGAATAAGGAAAAGATCAATTTTTAATTTTCCAGTGTAAATCACTATGTCCCCAGAATCCTTTTCCATTTTGCCATGCGCTGTCCAGTCCCTTTTCCCCTYCCCTGCTGTGTTCTGCTATCCTTTTTTATGTGTTATCCTTCTAATTTAGTCTTGTAAATGCCTTGCCTCAGGACATTTCTCTGTTTATTTTTCTGTAATACACTGCAGATATCCAGGTTTTATTAAAAAATAGACTTTAAAAAAATAAGTTAGGTTGGCTCATGTTTTTATTATGCTTTTAAACAAACTTTTGTATAAACAGCATGTGACCAAACCTCTCTAGCCCTGATAATATTCTGAGAGACAAAACCAGGAAGAGGACTTCTGAACTCCTTTGGTTTATGCTTGTGGAGTGGGATGGATAAAATTTTTAGCAAACCCAAAAAGTTCTATCCTGAAGTGTCATCACAACAGATTCTCACCTTCACACTTCCAAGGAAAAATTCTGTAACTTTAGGATTTAAATACTGAAAAAGAGCTTTGATAGGACTTACCTGAGAAGACCTTCTGAACAACTTTCTTGGGTAAATGCATATAACAACTCTTCTAACATTTACATAGGCACTCTACTGCACTTAYAGATTATTAGAGAAATTATGGGGATTTCCATGCTGAGTAACAACACGAGAGAGCATTGTGTTTGAACTGTTAAACAGCAGTTTAACGTACAAGAACATCTTGTTTTGGTAGTTTGCAACATATTTGATGCACTTTGCCATTAGACATCCCTGTCTGTCTTCTAYCCATGCAACTCTGCTGAAAAACACAGGTACAGCCCTTTCTGCATTAAATAGTTAAAGAAATAAAAAGAAGATTTTAAAGTTGTTCATTATTGCATTACAGCATTAAATGTGCACGTGCTCCTTAACTGTCCTTTTACAGTCCTATAAATGTCAGCCTTGCTAGATATCTACATGCTACAGCTTTAAGTGAGAGAAAACACTTACTGTTGGGGATCTAAGAGGCAGATCCATCAGTGTGTAAGCATTGGCTTCTGAGCCATTCCACGCAGTGAAGGACTTCACAATTTTGATGCTTGATGGTGTCCTCGGATAGAAAAGAGATCCCCTTCTGAATGAGCTGATTATTCAGGTGAACAAAATCTAAGCAAAAACCAACAAAGAAGAACTGTCTTCTGAATTTAAGCCAGCCACTTTACCTTTGTGTGTGTGGGTGAAGCAGGTTGTTAGACTCTTTGGAAGGATGTGAGATCCAGTGCAGAGTTTCTCACTAGAGCTTCAGWTTGCTACAGTCCATCATCAGCTTAGCAAAGGACAGCACAGCGGCTKCCATTTAAATACAGGAGGGGGCAGAGTCCGCACATGCCCAGTTTGAAGCTTGCTCCATCCTGATTCCAGCTTCACTTTAATGACAGTATAAAACTAATKCTCATTCAAAAGTGCTGTTGTCTGTTTCTTACCTTTGACCAATTAATGTCTGATTTCAATGCTATTTCCACACTGTCTCTGTATAAAGACAAGTTAAAGGTGGAGTTCACTCTCTGTCTTAAATATTGGACCTTATAGTTCTTTTTCACTRTATTGGTGAATTAGTTTTTTGTAGTCTGCTTTTAAAGAAGATGTGTGTGTACAGTTCTGCTGAAATTGTCAGAACTCAAATAGATTTTGATATTTAATAATGCGCTTGTGTGCACTTCTGTCTTGTAGAATTTAGGTCATGGTTGTTTGTTGGTCCACTTCTAAAAATAAACAAAACATAGGGATAAAACCTGACATCATCCTTTTCTGCTCTTTAGTTAAAAAAAAAAMMAACCAAACCACACACAAATACTTTAGGCAGGAAAGAGCAAATATCCACCTCTTTCAAGAGCTGCCTGCTTTCTTTTCAGTTGTGTTTAGATAAAGTATACATGAACAGATTCTTATTCACACAAATCTGGCTTTGCATTGCACTGTGCAAAGAGAGATGAATTGCTGTATTCCCAGTTGAAGGCCCATTACTGTTGTAAAGTGAAGTTTAATTGCAACAGAGAATTAGACACAGTGTGTGAAAAAGCTCTTCTAGCACATACTGCAGCCGGAGTATCACAGAGTTTAGGCCTTCCACCCACTGTCAAAATTACCCTGATGAAAGCTATTAGCTTCACTGCAGTTGATAATAAAAATAGATGGTGTGAACTGTTACTGGTAAGCCTTTGTGAGAAGGCTGTGTTAGTAATGGTGAGGATTGCATTCCCCCAGCTCTGCACAATACCTTTCCTTAAATAAGCACCTGCAGCACGCTAAACCATAAAATGAAGGAAAAGGTACTGCATTTTTTTGCCTGTATGGGAGCTGTGCCTCTATTGAAAGGCACCCACCTACAGTGTTGCAGTTTTCCTTTCCTTGATGGTCACTTAAGGAGRGAAGTGATCCTTGCTGTCACCAGGCCACTGAACATTAATAAACAGAGACASTCCTCAGACTCTTCAGGCTCTCTTTGTGACACTCTAAGAGTAATTTTTAGCAGGCCCATTATGAAAGGCAGAGAAATTTCATCRAGTGTCCCTGCCCTACAGTGTTGGYAGACACAACCAAGCCAGATTTARACCAGCAGTGGCAGAACTGCACCCAGAGGTGGCTGATCAACTGACAAGTTTCACCTTTTGCCAGTGTCTGAGATTCTATGGTCACTTTTTAGGGTGTGCTCTTCCCCTCTTCTTTCTGTGTGACACCAGACACATAAATACCAGGGCAATGCTGTATGTGACATTAATGGTATGAACTTCAAAGACATTGATGTGAGCTCCAAATTCACCCCTATGTGCATACACAGTGCTGTAAGAATGCTGCAGCAAACAATGGTGTTGGAGATTTTGAGGGACAGGATCTTTTTGGAAGATAATTTTGCATTTTCCTACTAACTAGTCAGGAGATGTCATTTCAGAATGCCACAATGTGAAACTGGCAAAGGCTCATACTATCTTCAAATTAAGCTTATTGAGGGAGTAGAGGAGTTAGTACAGAAATGACTGACGTGCAGATAAATGAGACAATGGGAGGGCTCCCGTGTATGTGAACTCTGCTCAAAGGAGTTGCATACAGTTACATCCTGTTCTTGTCAAACTGATAAGATGTAAAGTTTGAGACATACTCTYCAAGACAAGCATAAACACTAGGTCAGATGTGATCTTTGACTTGACAAAGTCTTCGTTTTCTGCTTTATGTCTCAATTCTGGACAATGCCAACACTCAATCTGTTTACATACAGCTTGTGCATAGAGTTTTCCTTTTCCCTGGGTCTCAGATGACATTTTTCCTCCTCCTTATTTCCTCYCATCTTAACAACAAGTCAATGCACTGAATATACTTCATTTCCAGTTAGCCTGGAAGCGTTGACTTTTTTGGCATTTTTAGGGAAGCCAATATGCTTGGCAGAGTGATCAAATAATGGAATAAAAGTAATCTTTTTTAAAAAGTAAAGCAGACATTATAGAAGTTGTCTGTCTCCTTTCTTCATTAGATTTGGAGTTGGTGTACACGCCTTTGCAGAGAGATTACTTTGATTAGTTCAGCAGCCCCTGCGAGTATATTATGAAAGAATATGCAGTGGAAAGGCAAGAAAGGAAGTTTTCCCACTGGGAAGCAGATGCTAGTGCAGAGGGTTGCTCATTTGGTATCCTTCCTTAGCCTTAGGACTCTGCTTCTGTGAATGCTAGACACTGACAAGCTAGGGAAATTATTTCTGAAAACTGGACCCTGACACCAAGATTCATGTCAATTGGAGATGTTCTCATATGATGGCAGTTGCGTGATCTTTTATTATGGCCATTTGCTAGAGGCCATTCAGCTGCCCTGTTTTATGCCTGGTGACTCAGCTTCTATGGAAGGAGAGGAATAATCCTAGAACTGTTCAAGGTGTGAAGAACGATACATCTCATTCTCTGTCCCTAAGGCTTGGGTAGTCAGACAAAGACTCATAGAAAATTATTCACAAAACTTTTTTCTCTCAGGTTTGCTTTGCTTTATATGCAGTGCTAAACCAGAGAGAACAGTTCTAAGTATTGCATTGAGCTATAATTGTATCTTTATCATTGAGGCTATTTCACTTGAAGTTATCAGAACATTAGACTTGTGTATCTGGAGCAAAGTTTGACCTCTCTCTTTCTCTGTCCCTTCTTTATTCTCTACCAAAAGCTTACCCCTGTTGTATTCCTGGGAAGCCTAATGGAGAAAAAAACAGTTCATGACCCCAGATACTCTCCAAAGGCATCAGCTCATCCTAAAGCTTTCTGACATTTCTACCACAAGTTTTTTGTGTGAAACATGCAGAAAGTTTGCCTGGCTTATGGCCCAAGTCTGAATTGTCCTCCAGTCATTTCTAGAGAAAAGATAATCCGTCCAGCATTAATCTCTCAGAATTGTGTCACATAGAGCTATGATGAGAATGGCCTTCCCATCTTCAGAGTCCTGCCTTTGGCTGGGTCCCAGCTGCCCACGAGGCTGCTCCATCCCTCCTCCTCAGCAGGATGGCGGGGGAAGGAGAAAAAAACCTGGGGCTCAAGTTAAAGGGAGCTTAATAAAATAAAAAGGCTACATGTGGAAGCAAAGGAAAAGACAATACTTATKSTCTACTTCCCAYCAGCARGAGCTGGCCAGCCTATTCCCAGGATGCAGAGCTTCAGTAGGCACAGCAATTATCCCAGAAGACAAACACTGTAATAACAAATGCCCCACTCTTTTCTCTTAGCTTTTATTGCTGAGCAGACATTGTATGGTGTGGAATATCCCTTAGGTCAGATGGATCAGCYSTMTRGCTATGGCCCCTCCCAAGATCTTGCCCAGCCCACAGGCAAGAGGAGAATGTTGGACAGACAGCGTTGCTGCTGTGCCAGCTCTGCTCAGCCATAGCCAAAACACCRGGGTGTGAGCAGCACCTYTCTATGTACCAATGCAGCACAGCTCAGGGAGAGCTGTGATGGGGAAAATGAGCTCCAGCTCAGACAGGGCCAAGGCAAACTCTTGCTGCTGATAATTTACTTCTGTTCWCAGTTTTTTATAAATTACAAGCAAAAATAGCAGAAAGACTATGGACTCCAGACCCTTCCAGGAAACTGARAAAATTGTCTAACAGAAAAAGGGAAAGATAAAGCCTGTAAAAATTTAATTAAAGTCCAAATGAGTTTAAGATTTCTTTCACAATGATGGAAAAAGAATTCATTGTCCTCTTCCTTGGCTGGGAGCTGTGGGTGGAATTAGGTTTTCACTCATCTACTGGAATACAGAGTACACTGCAAGAGCGGGTAATCAGCCTAGAAGACAGACTGATTTCGGGAAATGCCAGGAGAATTAAAAGGCCAGGGGCATGGTCAGGTAGGCCATGCAACCTGTGCAACCAGTGCATACCACAAAGGAGGCATGCACTAATCAAAGTTGTTGGGTATTTTTARTAAGTTGAGAGATTTTATTTTTCCCCACTGGGATGTGGAGAATGATAGGGACAGTTCTCAATGCTCGAAATATGCTCTGCTTGCCCTGTAGACGTGCTAGGTAATCCTATAAGCAATGGGAGAGAGGGAAGAACTATTGATTTTTCATTTGAGTGTCCATCCATTTGCAGTATCTGCCTCTCAAAAGGCAATATCATACTATAAAATCTGAGTCCCTAGCAGCCTTTCTTACAAAGCCCCTCCTGCATAGCATGAGCCTGGGATACCTGGTTTGGCATTGCTTCTCACTCACTGCAACATCTGAAAACATATTTCTCTCAGAAGCATTTTCAGGGCCCTATTTTTATACTGCTACCTGCAACAAACATATCTGCTTAGATATGCAGGTGAAAAGCAKTTGTTCATTTGACACAAAGCTCTTMGTTTCAACCATCTGTGTTCTTTTTGCCTTTTAACAGCTAAGAGCTGTCAGAGGAGAGCTCTCCCACCTCTTGCCTGTCCTCAGAGAGTGTACTGCAATTTTGGCACCCCAAATAACAAAGCAGGGAGAGAGTTGTGTAATATATATCTTCTGTGTGCTCTATTAATCATAAAAATTAAATTTAGTTCTTCAAGCCTGCAGCAACTTGGCAAGTGGA